TTCAAAGGTGTGTTAACCTAGATGCACAAGAACAATGGTCAGGGCTGACTTAAAACCTTTCACTAAAGAAGTTACCAGCCTAGGGCATGACTACCCACCATTACCTGCACAGTGAAGAATTTATGATCAGATCACCCTGTGACGTTACTTTCCATAGAAACTCCCCCCACCCCATACGTTTTGGTCACATTAGTAATATTTAAAATAATGATGTATTAATCAATGACATCTTATATTTGAAGATATAGTGATGCCAATATTTACTTTATTTTTACCCCTCACTATCAACTCAATACCTGAGCTGATATCTCTCTGATTTCACTTCTGAGACCCTTATTAAAGGTCGTCCTTTGCTCACCTGTGTGACTAGCCTCCCATGTCATTTCTTCAAGCAGGAGATGCCTGGAAGCAAGGCTGACCGAGTCTCCAGTGTCTGGTGGCCCTCAGATTGTTACCATGATGTTTATCTTTCACTCCCTCATTTCTAAATCTTGTCAAGAGTTCTATGAAACCTCAGGAAGTTATGAAGCAGAGGGTCCTATTTTAACATATGTGGGTTCACCTAAGTATTTATTTCCTTGAGTCTGATGTTAATAGACCAACTTCTCCACCACCTAGAAATGAGTCTGACTGAACTTCATTAAGTTTTCTATAAAAGCAGCACTCACTTTATAACCTGGATATAAGATCCGGCTGGTTTCCTTGTTAGTTGTCCTTTAACTCTCTGATCTTAAGTGGACTGATTATTAAGGTAATTGCTACGGTCAGTTTAGGGCACATATTGCCGGGAGGTATTCAAAGTCACCATTTATTATGTGTGGACCACATTTGATTCCCAGAAGTCATGTGATTTCCTGATCACCTTTTGCTAGAAGCTATTTTCCCTGTAGGTTGTATCCTAGGGGACTTGATTTCATCTTATTTGAGAATAACGGAATAGAAAAACAAGTGTCTTGAGAAAAGACACTTGATGGAAAGATAAATAATCTGAAAGACTCAAAAGAAGCACCTACCTCTTATAATAATCTGCTTTAGGAACCAGAAGAAAAATGTCAGAAGACTATTTGGTATCCTTAATACAGTTAAGAAAGACACAGCTTCTAAGAAATGGGAGGGTAGTCATAAGAAAGAACAAAGATGAATAGGTCTAAGGTGGAAATGAGATAAAATAAGGAAAGTATGCAAAAGATAGAATGTTCAATATTATAATGAAAATCCACATTATTTTGCTGAATAAAATCAGTGAAGATGGAAACAACATTGACAGACTATCAGAATGCAAGGAAAATGGACCAGAAACCAATATGATATTGTACATCAACTATAATTTGTTTTTGAAAAAGAGAGGGAAAAAAATTATAGAACAGAGATTCAACATATGGATAATTGGTGATCCTGAAGAAGACAGTGGAATAAGTGGAATGGAAAAAATAACCACAGATTTAATGGAAGACTATCTTGAGCTAAAGAAAGGGTGTGAGTATGTTTTCAGGGCAAGCTACCTTCTGTAACAACTGGAAAATTTCCAATCAGTGGGCTACCTTCAGCCACACCAGGCTCCTTCCATTTTGTGGCTGTATCATCCCAAGTGTCCCAGCATTTCCACTGAATTCTCTGCATCCAGCAGGGAAGCAAAAAAAGAGAAAGGAGAAAGTACCTCTAGTCATTGACCTCGGCTAAATGATGCACATCACTTCTGCTTACATTCCATTGGTTGACATTCCACTGGTTTACATTTCCATTGGCTGACGTTCCATGTGGCCCTATCCAGACTGGGGCGTGGGGAGGGTCAGGAAATGTAGGTGCCCAGGAAGAACAGGAAGTGGGTTTGGTGAACACATGGCATTGTCTCTGACACATGAATATGCAAATAGACATACAGATACGTATAGAGAGAGGTTGAAATAATTCTTTCCTCAATACCTTAATGATAAATTCCAAACCATATAAGATCATAGGGAAGACCATAGGAGGACCTCTCTCTTCCATCGTATTCCTGACAGTTTGTGACAGTCTGAGCCTCACTTGTCAGGCTTTTGGGGTGTCCCCACATGAATGTTCCAGGGGCCAGCAGAGTTCCCATGTGAGCCTTTAGACACCCCTCCCTTTCATATATTTTCTGAAGTTCCCACCTTACCCTCTTCCTGGGCCTACTGACTTGCCTTTCTGCCCTCCCCCAAGTCAGTAGGTCTCAGGTCTCACTGGAGTTGTCAATTTTTAGAGCTTTCTCAGTCTGGAGAGGGAGAGATGGCATCAGATCCCCCTCCAGTCCTAGATGCAAGGTGTTCTTCCAATTTTCTCGTATTCCCAATTAGTGAGAAAAGTCCCCCCACCCCCAAACAACAAAAAACAACAAAATACCTTTTACGGTAGTGTGCTAAAAGAGCATGTTTCTACCTCTGTGGCCTAGGATATGGTTTATTCTATTAGACATAGAAGGCCATGTCATCCATTGGCTGTTTCCTGGCTTTGTTCGCTAGGGTTGGGGGTGGGGACAGGGCAGCCCTGCCACACGATTCAGTGGGTTACACTTTACTTTCCATTGCAGGACATGTGCTCACAGATTAGGCCCAAGATCAGAATCAACTGTTTTATGTTTGAACTTGACCAAGGTGAAACTTTTCAAAATATAGCTCCATTGGTTTTAGATAGACTCTGCCTGAAGACAAAAGGTAGATAAGATCACCCTTTAAAAGTATCTGTGACTAGGTCCAACCGGTGTGGCTCAGTGGTTGAGCATCGACCCATGCACCAAGAGGTCGCCAGTTCGATTCCCAGTCAGGGCACATGCCCAGGTTGTGGGCCCGATCCCCAGTGGGGGGCATGCAGGAGGCGGCCAGTCAGTGTTCTCTCTCATCATGTTTCTATCTCTTTCTCCCTCTCCCTTCCTCTCTCTCTAAAAAAGAAATAAAGAAAAAAATTAAAAAATAAAAAGTATCTGTGACTAGATTCTAGAACAGCCTGAGGTGTGGAACAGTGGATCAGAGGACATGTCAGTTCAATCAGACAGCCTTTCTGATGAGCTTTTACCCACATCGTATGCAAGTTTGGCTGACCTTTTCACTGATGGGGCTGAGTATTTGAAGCTTTAGCCCAGCCATCCTGCTAGTTCAGCAATGTCCCTGCATCACTGGGGCTCCCCGCATCCCTTTTCCTTTCCCTTTCATGGAAGGCATGACGTCCGCGTGGTTTTGTGGCTGGTGGCAGAGCTGTCGGACAAGTGGGTCGGAGCTCAGTATTGGAGCCTAAGGTTGAGATCTCCGTGGAACCCACCATTCATGAGCCTCTGACTGAAGCACTGTCCCCTGTATTGCAATGATCTGTTTATGAGCTCCCCCTGCCCCGGCTCCATTGTGGGCCTTTTGAGAACAGGGATTGTGAGTTACATCCTTTGGTGTCCCTGTGCCAGAAATAGAAACCAGAATTATTGTTTAAGGTGCTGGCTAAATCCTTGGAGCTTCTTCCAGGAATATGGTACCTGGGCCTTGGGCTCCGGCCATTTGCTGATTTCCACTGACCACCTTCCTACCAGGCTCCTTGCACCTGCTCACCTTCGTTTGGATGAGGGAAGAAAGTGTGGTGATGTCAAAAGAGAGAATAGGTTTTGGAACCAGGTGGAGTCAAACCAGACCCTGCCCTTCACTAGTTCTGTGACCCTGATCAAGTCACTTCATTTCCTAGAGCCTCAGTTTCCTCCCCTGAAAACCAGGATGATGGGCCCTTCCCTGCAGCACTGATGGGAAGGCCCAGCTCAGCACCAACACCTATTTGGGTTTCACAGGCCAGTTTTCGTTGATTGAGTTATGTCTTCATTAAGGGTCCAACTCAGGACTGTGGCCCTCACAAACCTGGACCAAGGTTTCTACTCTCCTATTCTAAAAAACTTGAACACTTTCATTTATTTTCAGTTTCCTGTATGGTGTTGAACTTGACAGTTAATTATATATGCAACTGAAAATGCATGTGAGAGGTGGTGTGAAAAATAAATGTGTTCTGTGCTCGTTGAGAGTATACAGGGTGTCCTCAAAAAAGGGGTACAGGGTATCTGTAGATTCTATTACAGTTTTTTTAATCCTCGCCTGAGGATATATTTTTCTATTTATCTTCAGATAAAGTGAGAGGAGAGAGAGGGAGAGAAAGGGAGAGAGAAACATCGATGTGAGAGGGACACATCGACTGGTTGCCTCCCACGTGACCCCCACCAGGGCCAGGGACAAACCGCAACTGAGGTACGTGTCCTTGGCCAGAATCGAACCCGAGACTCACTGATCCTCAGGCCGACGCTCTACTGCTGAGCCAAACTGGCCAGGGCGATTCTATTACATTTTGAAAGTAAAATGCATTTCAATAAACACTGGCCTTATGATTACACTTTTTTGTGTATATATTTTTTGGGAACACCCTTTATATATTTTTCACCTTAGCAGACTGTGGGCCTCTAGCAGGCAGGGGCCAAATCCCCTTTCTTTTGGGAAACTCCCCTCTCATGCCCAATTCCAGTTTTTACTCACTCCTGGGCACTCGTAGATACTCAACAAATAACTGCTTGGCTAGCGACAGGGAGTGGGGCTGATTCCAAGTGTGAAAGAATTCTGGGTGCATTCGCCCCACGGCAGTGTGATTCCTGGAGATCAGAATGGACAGAATTGCCCACTAACCACTAGGTCTGGGCCCTTTGCTCAGCGGACTTCGCCAGGAAAGCATGCACCTGAGATGCTCAGGAATGAGTGCTTCTCTGGCCTGCAGCAGCCAGGGGGTTAACGGATTCCTCCAGCCAAGGGGGTTTCCAAAGATGGGGAGAGGGAGGCTTGATCATCTGTCTCCTCCCTTTCTGCTTTTAAACTATTTCTGTCCTAAATGGTTATAGCAGTTAATACCTAGTGTAGACATTTGAAAAAGTCAGAAACGTGATGATAAGCTTCACCCATAGTCCCACCACCCAGAGGTGCGAGCTTTCTCTTTATCTGAGCAGACCAGGCAGGGTGTGGCCAGTCCTTTATGCAACAGTCTCCGTTCACTCTGCTGTCACAGCGGCGAGGCCCAGCGGCTCCTCCCTCGCGGGAAGTGGCATTCCGGGATCGGTGAGTTTGGCTCTGGCTTCCAGAGTGAAGCTGGAGCAAATTCTGTGCTGCCCTTGTCTGGAGCTGACCCATAAGACTGGAGATGAGGGCTTTCAGAGGCTGGCACCCCCACGGGGCGGCCATGCCCAGGGCAGCGGTGGGAGCAGCTGGGAAACGACAACTTGCAGCCTCTTTCCACATGGGACTTGGGGTGCCGGGGGGTCCAGACTGTCTGCTCCTGTCTGGACACCCCCACTGGAGTGGCAGGAGAGAGGCACCCGCCTCTCCTCGGTGATCACAAGCTTCAACAGATTTTAACAAAAAGCCAGACAACTTGGCATCTGTTACTCTCTTTCTGGACCTTCTGTTTCTTTTATAGCTACAAGGAACGGCCCGTAGAAATGCGATTTCATACTCCAGTGATTACATATACCTGGTCTTCAGAGGGACAGGGAAGAAAATGACCTGTGACGGGGGATCTTTCATGATTTTCAGCTGCTCTCTGCGGATGGCGAATCCCAGGCAGAGTCCTTGCTGAGTAGGGTCAAGAGTGTGAGGATGCAAACCAGAGACGCCGAGCAGGGCTCCCCCGAGCACAGAGTGCAGGGCGCGGGCGGGATCGACAGGGCTGCTGGCGGGAAGAGGTGAGAGACAGGAAGGGCAGGACTGCACTGCCGAGAGCCTAGGGGGTCGTGGCGCCTGATGCTGAGGTATGATATTATCTTTTCTTGTCTCCCATAATCTGTTAACTGGGGAGCTGGACTTGGTAGTTTGAAAGTTGCAATCAATTGCTGAAATTCTGCTTCAAAATTGGCAAGAAGAATCGTTGCCAGAGGAGCCCAGCCCTTGGGTTATGTAATGAAAGAATGTTTTGTTTTACACGAGCTGGTTTAGGCACCAGGGCACCGGCCATGTGGCCTCCATGAACCCCGAGCACCTTGCCCGGACAGGGGCTGCTTAGGGGCCATGTCCCCACACTGTACTGTGAGCTCCCCTTGGGCCTTGCTCACTTCTGGGACCCCAGGGCCTGGACAGTGCTGCTTTGCTGAACCGGCCTAACTCCTCCCAATTCACTTGTTAGTTGAGTTTTAGTTCAACTTACGTGTATTTAGGACCTTCCCGGCACCAGGCCCTGTGGCAGCAGAGAGCATGGAGAAATGCTGGACACAGACCTTGCCCGCCAGGAGCCCGTGGTGGCAGGTTGTTACTAGGGGGCTGTAAGTGGAATGAAAGAGGGGAGCGTGGAGGCCTGAGAGCCTGAGGGCCAGGGGCGTGGGGGGAAGGCTTCTGGGAGGGACAACCTGAGCCGAAGGAGAGGGCAAAGGCGAGAGTGCTCCGGGTGGAGACCAGCATGGACCATCCTCAAGGTGGGACCCGGCCTGGTGCCTTCCAGGTCCTGGGAAAACCCCGAATACCAACCACGGGCACTGCGAGGCCCCGGGGCTCTGTGGGCCAGCTAGGAGCTTGCTTGGGCCTCACTCTACAGCACCGCAGTCCTCCAGAGCAAGCGGGTGGCCCGAGCAAGAGAGCCACGGCTCCCTGGTCCCCTGTCAGGAGGGGCGGGTTTGAATTTTCAACTTGGAGTGTATGTTTGGTTTGAAAAAGTGAATTTTATATTTAATAAGTGTAAAAAGGACACTTGTAGCTTTAGTAATACAATCTAAATTTGACCAAATTTTGACTAGAGGAATAGGAATTACAAAAGGAAAGGTAAAGGAACACTGCCCCAGGTGACAGGGCAGTGACAGGCATGGGCCACATTGACATTTTTAGAGCAGGGACTCTGGCTGCTGATTGGATGGGGGTACCAGGCAGAGACCATGAAAGCGATGGAGAGATGTGGGCTTATTCAGGGTGTGGTGCTCTGGATGGGGAGATAGTTAGAACATGAAACCAGAGAACTTGGTGACAGTGGGCGCCAGGGCGAGAAGAGGAAGAAGTCAAGGCTGCCTTCAGGGACCTTTGGCAGGGTGGCTGGCTGGCTGGGGGGCAGAGAGGAGGGGCTGGCTGGGGAAGAAGGCTCTGGTGCAGGGTTGGTCACAGGTCGGTTTCAAGGTGGCCGTGGGACATACAGGCAAAGGCCCCTACGCACCTGTGACTTGTCCAGGGTTGCAGCCCAGTGGATTCCCAGCTAGGGTTGGAATCCCGTGTCCTCTCTTCCACCTCCAGCCCAGCTGACTGCACACTGAGAGCAGGGAGCTGGCAGCCCAGGGGCCTTGCCTTCCAGGAGGGGCAGGTGCCCTGGGGGTTGATGCTGCTGTTCTCACTGTGTGGGGTGCTTCTCAGCCCTGCCCACAGGGCCTGGGTGGCTGGAAGCTGGGCTCTGGAAGCACATGCTGGGGAGAGCGAAGGCTCAGTGGGAGGCGGTGCAGGCCTTGGTACCACAGCAGGTGCAGGCTCAGAGGGCTGGCACGCCAGCGTCCCCAGAGGCTCACCGAGGGTGGCAGCCCCGCCCGCAGTGCTGGACCCTCCTGAGTGGCCCGGGCATCAGGCCTTCTCTTGCCTTTCCCTCATTAAGGCTTGCTGATCTGGTGCCTGTCCTGACGTTGCCGAGCCTGACTCTGCCATCAGAGATTTGACAGTTTGGGCACCACAGGAGAATGTTTTACAGATAACACATTTGCCTACAATGACTCTCAGGGTTATCTGCATTTTAATCAGAGCATAATCCCATAAGGCAAGGAAGGAAGCTCTAATAGTAGTATTTCAACACTGAGGGGATTGGGATGGGAATTTTTGTGTAAAGTGTACACTTATCTGAGGGACAGATGTCTGTCTCCTTACATGAATGGTACAAGTTACTTCTGGGGACAGAGGAGTAATTCTTTCAGTGGACATAAGAAATAGCTCAGACTCTAAGAAGTCAAACTGTAGCAGGTTAAGGGACAACCTCATACTTCTGTGGCAGGGACTACGGGGGAAGGGGAGGAAGCTGGTGCTTCAGGTAAGACAACTTACCTGGCTACAGGGTTGGTTCTGAGGGAGGGTCAGTGGCCACCCATCCAAAGAGTAGCATCCAGAGGTGTCAGCAAACCTCACCCTGGAGCCAGCCAGCCCTGGAAGGGAGGGCTCCCACGCTGGTGGGCATTGAACAGAAGCAGCATTAAGTGGTGGCCATGACCCTGTTCTAACTAAACATAAGACCAATGGAGGGAGGGTTGCAACTGGCCACTGACATGCAGAGCATAGAGAATAGCTTTTGCTGGTCTCTATCTGCATCCCTAACTAGAGGCATGATGGACTCAGGGGCCACCTAGGCACAGAAGTGCTGATCTCCCTTATGCATACTATACCTACCCAGATGAATTCTCCTTGCCCCTCACTGGTAAGACAAGTCTTCCCAGAGGCTCTGCTGTGGGCAGCACCAGGTCAGGGAAGGAGCTGATGTGGCTGGTGAGGCAGGGGTGGGCCCCCGAGCCATGGTGGGGGTGGGAGTGGGGTCAGGGATGAGGTAAGTATTTATGGGTCTGAACAACAGTGTTCCAAGTGAAAATGGACAGCTATCACTTGCCTTTAAATTTTTTTGATGATTAACCTTTTGACGACCTTGATCTCCAGGATTTTTGTAGTAAGTCACCCTTGTTTGTAAGTTACTAACAGCTTTGGATTCCTCCTTCAGTGGTACCTTATAACCGGATACCTAGTCATCAGCTGGGGCCCTCTCCCTTTGCGCTCCGGTGAGAGAGCCTTGAGCCACCAGTACCTGGCCTGGGCAACATCACCCCCTTCTTGCCGGGGGTGTGGTGGTCTTCAGGCTTCCTTTGTCTCTTGGGCTGCATCCAAAAACCACTCGCAAGGCACCTGTGAGTTCAGTGGCTGTTAGTGAAGAACTTGGGAGCGGGTTCAGGAAGGTGTCGTGTCCCGTCTGGTCCAGCAGCCCGCAGTCCCGCTGGGGTCACATCCTACCCGCAGGGCAGCTTCCCTCTGGACCCTCCTGGCCAACCCCCAGCAAAGGGCTTTTCCATTTCCTCTCTCTGAAAGGAATTTCGATCCCAATTATAAAGATAATGAAGCTTTCCTTACCTTTAAAAAATTTTTTTTCTTTATTGATTTTAGAGAGAGAGGAAGGGAGAGGGAGAGAGAGAGAAACATCGATGAGAGAGAAACATCGATGAGAGAGAACACTGATTGGCCGCCCCACTGGGGATCAGGCCCACAACCTAGCATGTGCCCTAGAATCGAACCGGCGACCTCCTGGTGCGTGGGTAGACGCTCAACCACTGAGCCACACCGGCCGGGCTTTCTTTACCTTTTTATGGATATAATTTGCTTTTAAAATAAAAATTCACTTCAAGTTCAGTTTACAGAATTTCCCAGCAGTCTTTAAACTCAGTCCACATGTAATGGTGCTGCGAAGGCAGGTGCCAGAGTCGTGGTGGTGCAGACCAGACCCTGATGTTTGTCATCTTGGTGTTTTCCAGTTTCCACCCAGACGTCTGAGCCCCTGTGGCTGTGGACAGCGTCCCTGAGAGCGGAGCAGGGCGCGCGCTGACCGCTGAGAAGACGAGCCTGGGACGAGGCTAGTTCCGCCTCCCGGTAATTAGCTGGTGGCTTTTGGAGGTGATGAGGGTGGGGGACACTATTCCGTTGGGTCTATCTCACCAGCATGGGCTTCTGGACACGCAAGCCATTGTGTGAATTCCCCAATCCTGCTCACTCAAGAGCTACCATGGAATTTGATGACCTTAGGGGCCACCCTCCAGCTGGGGCACAAGCCCCTCTGTAGCTTCCAGAGTCACCCTGATGCGAGGACAGCGCTCACCACTGAGAAGCCGCCAGTCCCTCCCCCCTTTATGAAGCAGCTCCTGCTGGTGGGAAGCTCCCCTCAGGCCCTCAGCTAGAATCTGCCTGTGGCAACCACGGTTGGTTCCGGTTCTGACTCCTGAGGCTCTAAGGAACCAGCCTAATCCCTCTTCCACCTGGCAGCCCAACAGATATCTGGGACAGCTGGAGTGGAGGAGTTCGGATCTGGAGCCAGAGACAGTCCTGGTCCAAATCCGGGTTCCACTGTGATCTCTGTGATCTCGGGCAGGTTAGTTAACCTCCCCGACGCAGTTTCTTTATCTATAAAACTGGGACAGTCACGTCTGCCTCATACAGTGGTCCTGGGAATGAAAAGAACTCATGAATAGCAGTTGTCTGGTGCTGTTTCGTCACCAATTCTCCGACACCCTCTGGGGGTCCTACAATGCAACTCAGCTCTGACACTCCCCAGAGTCAAAGGGCACACAAGTTAACTGGCACAAGTTAAAGGGCAAGGTGGCCCCCAAGACGGCTCCGGCTTCAGAGGCCACCGTGGGGTCCCGAGGCCACCCACTCTTCTGACTGACTAGGATGTAAGTTTAGGGGTTTCCACGTCCCCGCTTCAGTTTCTAGAATTCGCTAGAACAGTCACAGAATTCACTGAAGGCGCTGTATTGTGATTACAATTTTATTATAAAGGATCCAACTCAGGAACAGCCAAATGGAAGCAATGCATAGGGCAGGGTCTGGGGCTTGGGGACGTATGCAGAGCTTTGTGCCCTTGTGGAATCTGGTGTGTCACCAGCCCAGCGCAGTCATGTGCTCACCAACCAGAAAGCCTCTGAGTCCAGAGATTTTTTTTTTTAACAGTAAGATTTTATTCTTGTTTTGTTTTAATTGACTTTAGAGAGAGAGGAAGGGAGAGAGAGAGAAAGAGAAACATCGATGAGACAGAACATTGATTGACTGCCTCCTGCATGCCCCCCGCTGGGGATTGAGCCCACAACCTGGGCATGAGCCCTGACTGGGAATCAATCTGTCGATCTCTTGGTGCATGGGTCGACGCTCAACCACTGAGCCACACTGGCCAGGCTGTCCAGAGATTTTTAATGTGTGTAGGGGGGCTCACCATTGGGGGGGGACTTTATTACTAGGCATAATGGTATAAATTGAACTCAATCTCCAGCCCCTCCCTCTCCCTTACTGTGAGTTGGGCTGAAGTTGCAACTCTAATCAAGTGCTAGGTTTTTCTTGGTGGCCAGTTTCTCCCTTGAAACTATCTAAGGGCCCACCATAAGTCACCTCCTAAGTGTAAATTCAGGTTTGGTGAAAGGGGCTCTTTATGAATGACAGAAGACACTTCCAATGTCTTCGGGCATTTTAGAAGCCCCAAGCATTTTTGAAGCTCTGTGCCTGAAACTGGGGACAAAGACCAGATATACTCTACGATGTCACATCTGTGCAACAAGCTGGCCTCCTCTGATCTTGAGCATCCTGCTTACTCTCCTTCCTGTGATCTCCAGGTCGGCACGTTCCCACTGTCCGGTCAGAGAACTGGGCATCCTCATCAGCCTTTTCTCCATTCTCTTCTTCTTGTTCATATAGCTCAAGATTGGATTTTTTTGGACTAAAACATATCATTACAGTTATTTAGTGTGCACCTGTTTACAATAGAATCGTAAGCCTCTCATTACTCGAGTTCTTAATGCTATGATGATTCTAGCCTCTAAATAACACATGATGAGAGCAAATGCTTAACAGCACTTGCTATGCACCAGGCACTATTTCAAGTATGTACTTCATATACAATCCAATCCTCATAACAACATGAAGTGGTAGCTAAATAGTTGCAATCTCCATTTTATATATGGGGAAACTGAAGCACAGATAAGTTAGGTAACTTGCCCAAGATCACACAGCTAATAACAGACATAGCTGAAGTTTGAACCCATTGTCTTGCTCCAGAGTTCATGCTTTTAACCACTAAGCCACTCTGCATACAATTTTGATCACCTAGGAAATATTGTGAGGAGGAAAGGAAGGAGCATAAAAGGATGCCTCTGGCCCGGCCGGTGTGGCTCAGTGGTTGAGCATCAACCCATGCACCAGGAGGTCGCCGGTTAGATTCCCGGTCAGGGCACATGCTCAGGTTTTGGGCCAAATCCCCAGTGGGGGGCATGCAGGAGGTGGGCCAATTGATGTTCTCTCTCATCAATGCCTCTATCTCTCTCTCCTTCTCCTTTCCTCTCTCTCTAAAATCAATAAAAAGAAAAAATATATATATATATATAAAAAGGATGCCTCTGGTTCACAAAGTCAGAGGGTTTTGAGGAGGCCCCTGTTGTCATGGTGAGAGTCAGTGTTTCCTTTTCCTACCCCACCCCCCCAGGAGCACCTCTGGAGCAGGCCTGGCGGCATGGTGGTGTGGTCCATCAGGCCCAGGTTTTCTTTGTTCTTGATGCTTCAGGGAGTGAGGGGCTACTTCAGAGCCTTCTTAGACCCACTCCTGGAAACACAGCCACTCCAAAGGGAAGCCAAGAGAATCAGCATTTTCCTACCTGGATGAAAGGATTCAGGCCAGGAAGGCTCAGTACCAGTCTATGCTGGTCAAAATCCTAGTCCATTAGCTGAGAGTTCAGGTGGTCCTGGAGCTGGTGGAACCTGGAATCATAAGGACCCAGAGATCTCCAAGTTCACATCCAATGCATCCATTAGCGGGCGAGGGGGGTTGCTTGTTGCTATTTTTAAAAGGATCTGAGGCTGTGAAAGTGCCAAGGAGAATTCAAAGGGGTGGGGTGCAGTGGGCGATGCCTGTAGAAGAATTTTGGTCTGCAGTGCTGCCTGCCCAGAGAACAGGTAGTGACTGCATGTCTGCAGGGCTCTCATGCGTTCCCATTGTTTGACCTTGCAGCCTCTTCTTACTCCCCAAGTTCCAGGGCTGGGGCTGGGTGGGAGCATGATGGAGGTGAAGGATTCTTAACTCACCCCATCATGTGGGATTGACTTGAACCCCCGAGGCAACTGTCAGTAGGTCATTTTTGCTCTTTGCAGGTGTTTCTCTTTTGGCCTTTGACTTGAGGAAGAGGCACTGGGGGAAACTGAAAACAGCATCCTCCGCCCTTGTGACTTTCTACATAAATCTTCCCCTCTCCCTGTAGTGTCAGAGCTCGGAACAGCCCCTGAGTCATTCTGTCCACTTCCTCATTTAGGGGCGGATGAAGGGAGACCCAAAGAGGGAAATTACTTGCCCAAGTCCATGCAGCTAGAGAAGGACAGAATTGGGGCAAAATTGCAGACTCTGACTCCTCGTCCTGAGTTAATTCCACCACAGGCATCCTTGGTGGACTCAATCACTCTTTCTTCACTAAATTAAAAATCTGGCTTTCAGTGTTAGGAAGTACAACCTCAACTGTTCTAGCAACCTGACAAATATGTTTGGAAATATTTCTTTAGAGAAGGTTTGTTTTGTTTGTTTTGGCTGCCGTTCCCAGTCTGCCTGTCCCTCCTCCATCCCATGGACACGACTGGTAAGGCTGGTGCTGGCTGGGGGAGACCTGGTGAGGGCTTTCATAAAGACATGACTAATTAGTGGAAGAATTAAGGTCAGGGATCATGGTTTGGTAAACTCTCAAAAGCGAGTTTCAGAGGCATTTGGAGCACTCGTACTGTCCCAGGTCAAGTGTATGGTGGCAGGTGGTGGTTGGAGTGGGGAAGGGGGCCGGAAGAACCATGGGAGGTGGCACCTGGCACTAGTGTTAGAAACACGAGGCTTTGTGTCATCTTTGGCAGGCTTGCTAGATATGGCCAATACCTGGAATGGATACCTTTCATCACACATTACAACCACTAACATCCTGCCAGTGGTATTTCAACTCTGGCTGCCTATTAGAATCACCTAGGGAGCTTTTAAAAATCTTAATATCCAGGTCACACCCCAGACTAATAACATTACAATCTTTGATATCAGTATTTTTTTAAAGTTCTCAAGTGATTACAATGTGTACTCAAGGTTAGAAACCACTGCTGTAGGCCAAAGGTTCAGCCCATCAGCTGATTCTTAAGGGACCCTGTCCATGTACCTTCCCTTGAACTTGCTATATGCCCGTCTCCCAAAGGGACGAATGCAAAAAAGAAAAAGTCAACTGAGTGTTCAGGGCTGACAGGGTGGACTCCCACTTGTGCTCTTGCCTAGTGCAGAGGAACTGTAGGGCGGAAGGGTAGAGTCCTGACAGCTCACAGACAGCAAGGATATGCTCTGCTAACAGCCAGCAAGGCCTCTTTTGCAATGAGCTGCTGGAATGAAGGCGAAGGCTTGGGCTCCCAGGATCAGCCCTGGGGGCAGAGCAGATCAGGACCAGGGAGGCCAGGACCCCTCTGAGAACAAGAGAGCACTCCACCTCCTCGCCGGAGGGGAGCCCTTGGAGGTAAACTGAGGGATGGAAGCCCGGTGTCCTGATCTCAGGGAATGCTCTTTTGTTAGTATCTCTCTACTGATGTTCAAAAGTTAATTATTATTCATTCAAGACACTTGCTTTCCTTTGCTAAGAGGGGCATCAGCCAGCAAGGAGAAGGCTACCGCTCTGTAAGGCCCCCTGGGTGTGGAAGGGGAGGTGACGCAGATCTGAGGGCCTAGCTGTGCTGACACAGAGGAAGACTGGCTGTGTGGCATGTGGCCAAAGCCCACAGCTGGTAGGTGGAGGCTGGAACTGCAACCTGCTTCTTCTGATGGGCTCCAGTATGGCATCAGAAGACATTCCTTCATCCAGCACGCAGGCATTTAGAAAAGCATGCTCGAGTAGAAGAAATACGCCTTTCCCGCAGCCCAGGCCTCCAGAGGCTGCCCTGGTCCTCGCTCCAGAGACCAGGTCCTGATAAATGGGGCCTGGCAACCCGGTGCCCTTCAAACAGTGTTTAATCTTTTGCTATTTCTCAATATTGACTTAATTGGATTTTGGAGGAACTAATTTTCATAAATGAAAGTTGCAGACCTCTTTTAAGCGTGGAATAAGAATCTGATTCTGGCCCTGGCCGGTTTGGCTCAGCGGTTAGAGCGTCGGCCCTCGGTCCTGAGAGACCCGGGTTCGGTTCCCGCTAAGGGCGCGTACCTCGGTTGCAGTTTGTCCCTGGCCCTGGTCGGTTGTGTGGGTGGCAGCCACTCGATGTGTCCCTTTCATGTCGATGTTTCTCTCTCTCTCTTTCTGTTCCTCTCTCTCCCTCCCACTCTACCTGAACAAAAAATGGAAAAATGTCCTCGGGTGAGGATAAAAAAAAAAAAAAAAGAATCTGATTCCGCATTGAGGCACGTTTTCTGAAACAGAGTCACCAATCGTCCCTTTACAGAGGCCGGGGCAAGTCAGCGCTGTGCAGAAAGCATCGCACAGACCGTTCTCACCCCTCAGCATTCCCGCTCTCTTCTTCCGTTTTCTTTTGTGAATTTCCCACCACAATTTTTTTAGGTGGCATCTTAGGGGCTTGAAGTTTTAGACGAAGTACCGATCCCCAGCAGAGAGCTGTACTTTGTGTGAGATGTGCATCATAGAAATGCTCGAACAGATCTGCCGGCCATGCTGGCACTGGGACACCTGTCTACCTCAACCGGAGGAGGGTGGCCATTTACGCCCGGCAGGATAGTCGGGGAGGAGTGGGCTCACCTGAGCCAGTGCCCTATTTTCACTTAGTCAGATGATGCATTAGCCCCCCTATAGATCAGCAGCTGTCGGCGCCCTGCCCTCGAACCCGCGGCTCCGCCTACCGCCTGCTGGGGATGGCCGCATGCCACTGTGAACCCTGCCCACTGTGAACCCTGCCCACTGTGAACCCTGCCCACTGTGAACCCTGCCCACTGTGAACCCTGCGGAATCCCACCCCTCCGCCCTCGGACACGTGTACCCGGGCTGGGCCTCCAACCTGTACGCCCACTCTGCCCTTCTCTGCAGGTCCCAGGAGTGAATTGTAACCCACAAGGACAATGAGTGAGGAGACTGTCCCCGAGGCCGCCTCCCCGCCGCCCCCGCGGGGGCAGCAGTACTTTGACCGCTTCTCAGAAAACGACCCCGAGTACCTGCGCCTTCGCAACCAAGCGGCGGACCTGCGGCAGGACTTCAACCTGATGGAGCAGAAGAAGCGCGTCACCATGATCCTGCAGAGCCCGGTGAGTGGGGCCCACCCAGGAGGGCCCGGCGCTGATTCATCTGGGTGAACCTGGAAGATAACTCTTTAACTTGCTCAGGGTCCTAGCAATTGGAAGCCTGCTGAGCTAGACGAGGGTGTTCGATTCTCTGTCGTCTTTGGTGGGTGGCAAAAACTGGTTATTTGCAGGTGATTTGGCTCGGTAGTGGGAGGAGGTGGGTCTGGAGCCCCACTTCAGTTTCCAGGGCCCCTTCGGATCCTCAGCTTCCAGTCTTCCCTCCTCCCCAAAAGCTGTCAACAATGAACAAATTTGTGTAAATCGGAGGCCAGCAGAGGGCGCCACGCGGAAAGTTTGCGATACCCCTTCCTTAACACCAGAAAGGATCCACTGTTGGAGCGGTTAGGCTGTCAAGCATGGGAAAGGGGTGAAGAGAGCCTGGAAGCCCCAGGAGATTGGGGGAGTGGAGAGTTCAGGGGATTACCTGGCTGGGGCCCCGGAAGGGAGAGCAAGTCACGATCATCCCACCAAAGCTCCAGACGAGGTCAGTTGGTGCCGGCCTGGCATGGACACAGAGCTCATCCTTGAGGCAAGGACAGAACGTGGGCCGAATGGACCACCGAAGTAGGAGGGTGGTGGTCCACGCTCCTGGGCATGGGGAAGAAGAGCCATGGGAGTCTGAGGGCTGTAGAGCTGAGGGGTCAGTGCATGATCTTAAGGTCTGGGAAGTTCAGGGTTGGAGCTGGTATCTCCGGCACTTGCCAGGATGGGCTCTGCCTCAGCCCCCACTGTGCTTCGGGGAGTCAGGGCATTACATGGGCCATGTGTGACCCTAGCTGAGAGCACACAGCGAATGCTGAGGCCTCACAGAGGAGCACGGAGGGATGGGCCTAGGGTCTTGGTGACAGGCGACGTTGTGTTGGGGATCCTGAAGGAATGTGGCAGGTGTTAAAAGCATTGGGGTGATGGAAAAACCCCAGGGTGTGAGTAGGAGGGATAGTAGGTGTGGGAGAAGTGGCAGAGTTAGTACCAGCCCAGGTATTGGGCCTGAAAAGATGGGACTCTATTCTCAAGCAGGAGATGGGAATGGGAGGAGCTCAGGTTGAGTCTCTCCTTTTATAGATTCACCAACTCCTAAGCAGCTTTCTAATTTTTCTCCTGAGTGTTCCCTGCTGCCACCTGGTGGACAGGCATGCTTTGTTCATAGCCTGATGGTTCTGAAAAGCCTGTGGGACGTCAGAGTGAAGACCTCAGAGGTCATCAAATCCTTTTGAAACTGAGGAAACTGAGACGTAGAAAAGCCATAGGCATGGCTAATGGACAGGGAAGATGGCATACTCATGGCTAATGGACAGGGAAGATAGCATACTTTTTCATTCAGTTCTTCTTTTTGAAATGTCTCAATTACTAAAGTGAAGTCCTGCCATGTCTGATGGGGGAGGGGTCTTGATTCTCTCAGACATAGGAAGGACCTGGAATCTGGAGTATTGCCTACAGGGCAAAGGGAGCAGGATCCATCCCCAGCCTCTCCTTGTTGCTCCCCCAGTAGCAGTTTGGAGAGGCTCCTAAAATCCCATGGAATTGCCCAATGTCCTTCGGAGCCCAGGGATCCCACCTGTGGCCCTGGCCTAGCTGACCTGGGGTGGAGTGGGCACTTAGAAGCGGGGCCCTCGGTCTCCTGCCTGAGATGCACTGGGGGGACCAGCACCTCTGGGTCTGCTTTTAGTCTTTCAGGGAGGAGCTGGAAGGCCTTATCCAGGAGCAGATGAAGAAGGGAAACAACTCCTCCAACATCTGGGCTCTGCGGCAGATTGCGGACTTCATGGCCAGCACCTCCCATGCGGTCTTCCCAACATCTTCCATGAGTACGTGGGCGTGGGGAGCTGCCAGGAGCAGAGGGTGGGGGAAGTGGGGAAGAGAGAAAGGAGCAGCAAGAAGCAGCTTGGTTGCCAGGCTACCGGGTGAGTGCTGCAGTTGCATTAGTAGACCTGGGGGAGCTGAGCAGCAGCCAGAGAGGTACCTGGCTCTGCTTCTGATGCTGCTGTGATTTAAAGACAGGAAAACGATCCCTGATGCCCAGAAATAGGAGGGGGGTGTTGTGGTGACTCAAGGAGAACGAGGTTCTGGTTCTGCTGGGGGAGAGGACAGGATAACACAATGTCCCTCCTCTGACAGGCAGGGCAGCCTATATATAGGAACCTCCCCCACCCCATCTCATTAGTGGGTTAGCATGAAGGGAAGAGCTTTGCAACTCTAGGCTCCTCACATGACCTCTGCTTGAAGGCCCAGGAAGTGGAGAGTGAGGATTCTGCTCCCTGATAACTTTAGCTATGGGTACAGAACGGAAGAAAAATCTTTCTGCGCTAACAGCATTCCCTGACTCAAGGCTGCTCTTCCCTAATCCCCGGGAGCCATTACCTTGGGAGATGGAGTTGGGGGATGGGAGGAGGCCACTGAAGCCAGTGTCTCCAGGCCCCAGTGGAAAGGCCAACTTGACTACAGACCAGGGCCAGCGGCAGCCAGGGCTGGGCATGAACTCATCTTCCTGCTCTGAAACTCTGCCTATAACCTTTGAGAAACAAACATCAAAAAATACTTCCCCTCAACATGATGAATACAGGATTATGGTGGAAATTAGGAAAATATTCTAGAAAGGGAAATTGCTGTCCTTGTTCTTCTAATCAAGAAACTACTGTTATCAACATTTTGATATATAGCTTTTCAGCCTTTTTTTTTCTCTTAATGTATATAGATTAATCAAACAAAGTGGGATTACATTGTCCATACACATTTAATAGCCTTAATATGTCTTGACTACTTTTCACATAATAAATTATGGTTCTATAATGTAACTTTGAGTAGATATATGCTATTCTTTGGCATGGCTAAATACATCATCGTTTAATCAATTTCCTGTTTTTTAGACATTTAGGTTGTTTATAATTTTTTGCTATTATGAGCAAACAATGCAATAAACAATTTTATAAATAAATCTGATTACATCTATGACTATTAAGATAAATCACTAGAAACAGAATTGCTAGATTGAAGTATATGCATGTTTTAAAGACTTTAATGCAGCCCGGTTGGAGTGAGTCGGTGGTTGAGTGCCGACCCATGCACCAAGAGGTCACCAGTTCGATTCCTGGTCAGGGCACATGCCCAGTTTATGGGCCAGATCCCCAGTGGTGGGCATGCAGGAGGTGGCCAATTGATGTTCTCTCTCATCAATGTTTCTATCTCTCTCTCTAAAATCAATAAAGAAAATAAATAAATAAATAAAGAAAGAAAGAAAGAAAGAAAGAAAGAAAGAAAGAAAGACTTTGATGCATAATTACCAAATTACCCTGGGGAAAGATGGAACCAATTTACATTCGCAGCAGCCATGCACTCGAGTGCCCATTTACTCCACCCTGATCCAAAGTATGTGTTACCATTTGTTTCATCCTCATGATTTGACAGGTGAGGAAAAGTACTTTGTATTTTAACATGCAATTGCTAATGAGGTTGGATATATTTTCATATACTTATTGGACACGGTTTTCTTTTTGTACTAAATTGCCTGTAACATCCTTTGCCAATTTTCCTACTCATATATTCTTTTCTCATAAATTTTCAAGTCTTTATAAAGTCAGACTATTTCTCTGTTATCTGTCAAGTATATTTCAGTTTTCTCCAGTGTCTTGCTTGCCTTTTAATTTTGTTCATGATGTTTTTGTCTTTTTGAACTTTAATTTCCATGTAGTTGAATCCATTGTTATTTTTCACTTTTGATTGCATGCTTAAGAACATCTTCCTGTGGTTTATCATCGGATAAAATACCCTTAATTATTCATGTGCTAATTTTTTTTCAACTATTTGTAAAAGTTGATTCCTTAAAATAACTTTAGAAGTATTTTGTCAAGTCTTTCCTTCACCTCAAAAAATTCCTCTTGGGATTTTGATTTGATTACATTAAATGGATAGATTAAATTGGTGGAGAATTATTTACTTTACAGTTTTGTATTAGAATGCAAGCTCCACAGGGGAAAAGGTATTTATGTTTTGTCCCCTGCTATATCCTAGAATAGTGTCCTGGACTTAGAAAAGGGTCTGGAACACAGTAGGTGCTTAAAAAATGTTTACATGAATGAATTTTAAATCTTTTCATAAATGATGTATGTCTTCTATTTATTTACTTTTTCTTTTTTTGTTATAAAATACTCCTTTTTTTTTAATTAATTAATTTTTGTTACAGATGTTTCTCCTTTTTCCCCCACTGATTCCCCCCTCCCCCCCCCCTCCCTGCCCTTTCCCCAGATTGTTGTCCATGTCCACTGTTCATGCATACATGCATATAAGTTCTGTGGTTTATCTCTCCCCCACCTCCCCCCTCTTTAGGGGATTGTCAGTCTGTACCCCACTTCCGCGTCTCTGGGACTACCCCATTCCTCAGACTGTATGTTCATTATATTCCACAAATAAGTGAGATCATATGAAACTTGTCTTTCTCTGTTTGGCTTGTTTCACTTAGGATGATACTTTCAAGGTCCCTCCATGTACTTTTTCTTTAATGTCCATCAGAAAAAATTTAGGAGTTATTTTCAATAGTCCCTACTAATTTCCTGTTACGTTTATCCTGAAAATTTTATGTAATTTTGTTATTTTAAATGATTCTTTCTTCACTTAATTTTTTTTCTGGTGTTTTCTGTAATCTAAGGAAATCATTGATTTTATATATATATGTAAACTAGCCCCTTATCAAACTCTTAAATTTTAATATCTTCTCATTCAATTCTTTGTTTTTTGTATATAGAAAAATAACATAATTTGCAAATAATGGTCATTTTGCATCCCTTATTCCAACATCTACTCTTTGGTTTATAGTTTCAGTTTTTTTCATTGCATCTGTTAGAACTCTCAGAACAATGTTCAGTAATAGGCTACAGAGTAATCTTCCTGGTCTTGATTCTCTGACTTTAATGGAAATTCTTTTACCACAAGAGTTTGAGATAGTTGTTCTTTATTACATTCAGGAAATATCTTTTTATTCTGGTTTAATATGGGTTTTTCTCAGCAATGGATGTTGAATTTTATAAAATGCTTTTAGGCGTCTATTGATTTTTCTTTCCTTGAACTATTGATAAGATGAATTATATTAATAGATTTCTATATATTGAACTCTTTTTTCATTGCTGAAACAAATAATTCCTGGTCTTGATGCATTATTTTAAAAAGACTTCTGGATTTGATTTGCTAAACTTGTTTTAAATTTTTTTTCTCTTTATTGATTTTAGAGAGAGAGAGAAAGAAAGAGAAACATTGATGAGAGAGAATATAGATTGGCTGCCTTCTGCATGCCCCCCACTGGGGATTTGGCCCACAACCTCGGCATGTGCCCTGACTGAGAATCGAACCGGTGACCTCTTGGTTCTTTATACCTATGGGTCAACACTCAACCACTGAGCCACACTGACCCGGTGATTTACTAGACTTTTATCAAGGACTTTTGCATCCGTACTCACACATTAGATTGGTCAGCAGTTTACTTTTTGGGCAATCTCTATTTTCTTTGTCCTAATGGAGTTTAAATAAAATGAGAAGTCTCTGTTCGTTGGAGATTTATTAAAAATTTAATAAAAGCCATCTAGATCTGGAATATTTTTGATGAACTTTTTTTTTCTCAGTTTTATCTATGATTTTTAAAAAATCTATTTTGCTGGTTCTTGAGTAAATTTTGGTCATATATTTTGTATAAATCCATTTTGTGGAGCTTTTCAAAATTATAGTGACTTACAATATTATTTTTATCATTTAAACTTTCTGCTGGGAATGAGATGACTTCCCGTCTCACTCCTGGTGGTGTGTATTCCCACTTTCTCTTTATTGGCCAAGCCAGATATTAATTTATTTCTAGATCTTCTCACATAAGCCAATTCTTAGATTTCATATAGGTTCTACTAATTTTCTTGTTCCCAATTTTGCTTTTGTTTTTATATTCACTCATTCTTTTCCATAACCTTCTTTTGGATTATTTTGCTGTTAATAATTTTTTCCTAGAGAAGAATAATGGGTGATTTCTTTTCATGTTTAAGTCAATAATAAAGATATTTAAGGCTATGAATTTTTTGCTCTGAGTATAAATTTGGTCTTACCCCATGAATTTTGACACATTGTATTTCTTTTATCACTAATTTCTAGTTAGGAGATGGCTGTTTTAATTTTATTTTTATTCTAAGAGCTCTCTGGAAGTGTATTTTCTCATTTTCAAATGGTTGAATTTGCATTCTTTTGTTGATAATGTCTAATTTTATTGTATTATGTTTAGAAAATGTGGCCTATTTAATGTCTGTGTTGGGACTTTATTGAGATTTTTTTTGTGTGGCCTAATAATATCATTTAAAAATGATATATAGGTATGAACTCTACATCTAGGGCATAGTATTTAATCTGTATCTTCATATATTTGTTTTTATGTTGTAATAAATGAGAGTTGTGTTATGTCTTCCACTGTATTTGAATTTTGTTCATTTCTATTTGTTTTCCTGGTAGCTTTTGCTTTGGATATCTTGATGAAATGTTATTGAAACCCTAAGTGTTCTTTATACCTAAGGGCTCATTTTGGATTAAACCTTTAATCCATGTAAAGTGACCTACAAAATGGCCCTCTGTCCAAAAGAATATTATTTTCCCTAACTTCTACTTTGATAATATCATGACCTCTGTTTAATTTTTTGTTTATATTTGCCTGGCATACTTTTTAAAAATTAATTAATTTATTCTTGTTACAGATGTTTCTCCTTTCCCCCCCAATGACACCCTCCTCCCAATCCCCAGCTCCGCCCCCACCCATGCCCCGCTCCCAGCATTGTTGTCTATGTCCATTGGTTAGCTTGGCATACTTTTGATGATTCTTTTGTTTTAACCAGCCTTATGTTACTTTATTTTAGTGTTTGTTTTTTGTAAACCTCCTAGAGCATGGTCTTCTGGCATCTATTGCTCTAGTAGAGAAATCTGAAACAACCTATTTTTTGGTCTTTTGTAGGTAACCAGAATTTTTTTCTAGATGTTTGTGGATTTCCCCCCTAATCCTTGTACTTCAGAAATGGTGTTAGGAAACATATAACTGTGGACTGCTTTTTACAATGGATTCCCCCACCCCACCCCTCCTGCCACCTTTCCCGGATTGCAGTACATCATTAGAATGTATACACATAGGTTGTTTTTCAGTCCAGAAGTTTTCTTCTCTTAGATCAATACTGATTATCTATATGCTGGCTCTTTGATATCTGTCTCCCATATCTATCATATTCTCGCTCATTGTTTTCATGTCTCTGTCCTTATACTCTTCCATTTGAGAGAGAAACAGGGCTGACCAGCATTCCCATTCTCTCACTGACCAGCATCTGTCAGGAAGACAGCTGGACGACTGGAAATTTGATTAGTGCTCATCCAGGGTGTCTGAGTCAGGGAATGTGGAGAGGGGAAGTCACAATGTCATGAGTTCAAGTCCAGAGAGGTTGTTCTTTGTCCAGCTCCATTTGCCTTAGAATTTCCTTCCTTCCTTCCTTCCTTCCTTCCTTCCTTCCTTCCTTCCTTCCTTCCTTCCTTCCTTCCATAATGTGTCCTTTAGTTTTAGCTTTCAGGGAGTTTGATGGACTTTCATCTTTTTCTGTGTTTAATTAATAGTTTGAATAAATGGATCAGTTAGATCTGAGTCATAAACCTGGTATTCAGCCATCCTAACTTTTTAAAAAAATGTTTTGTATTGATTTTTTAGAGATAGAGGAAGGGAGAAAGAGATAGAAACATTGATGTGAAAGAGAAGCATCAATCCCTGCCTCCTGCACCCCCCCTGCTGGGGATGGAGCCCAAAACCCAGGCATGTGTGCTGACCAGGAATCAAACCGAGACCTCTCAGTCCATGGGACGACACTCGAACCACTGAGCCACACCGGCCAGGCAGCCATCCTAACTTTTGTTAGGCTGGTCAGAATGAGCATTTTTTAAAAATTAATAACCTGAGAGCAGAGGATGGGACTCCCGTGGGGTCCTCTGTCTCTTCTCCTGCCCTCATGCCTGTAGGTCGAAATTGGCACAGAGAGGTGGTGGGGCCTCTGATACAGGATGCGGAGGGTACCATGGGTGGGGTTTAAGACCTATTCTGACCTCTTGAGTATTACTGGGATTCCATAGTTATTTGTAAGAGAAGGATTCAAAGAACTCTGTATCTGAAGACTCTCCCAACAATAATGCCTTCCCAACCTGGCTCTGTCTGGGGGCCTTCTGCTTTTGATGTGCCTCCCTTCTTGCTGCCTGGGGAGAAAGAAAGAGGTAATTTCTTGTCAGGGTGACGCACAGGGAGGAGGAAGGGATCCCAGACTGGTCCATTAGAATTAGAAATGATTGACCTTGGAGTTTTGTTATTGCTCCTCTTGCCTGCTGAGCTGGATCTTTGGATCACTTCTGCCCCTGTCAGCTACATTTACTGGACACCTGCCCTGGAGGTGTCCTCCCGGTAAGCACAGGCCCTTTGGCCGCGTTTTCCTGACATGGGTGTTCAAGTCTTGCTCTGCCTGCGTGCTATCTCATTATTTCAACTAAAGGCACAGCTGGTCCAGGATGTACGTATGTCACAACGTGTAGCAGCGAGGTTTATAGAGATGGCAGGAATGTCCAAAGAGCATTTTATTTATGTATTTTATATGTTTCTATTGATTATTTAGAGAGGAAGGGAGAGAGAGATAGAAACATCAGTTGGCTGTCTCCTGCACGCCCCCCCACTGAGGATCGAGCCCGCAACCTGGGCATGTGCCCTGACCAGGAATCAAACCCAGACCTCTCAGTCCATGGGACAACGCTCGATCTTCTGAGCCACACTGGCTGGACCCGAAGAGCATTTTAATCCTTTAAAGTTTTTAATGAGATGCTGGGAGAGGCAGCATCAGGAGGCTCCCAGCCGGACACTGGTTTAGGCTGGAACACTTTCCTATTGGTTCTCTTACTGGTTCCTAGACACCGAAAAACCGGAGTGCTGGGGCTCGGTGCCCTCTTCTGCCTTCTTGAGGCCTGCGGGCAGCAATCATCGTGGTTAATGGGACAGGCTGCTGTCAACTCCTAGACCCTTTGGGTGCCCTGAGGACAAGACCAGCAAACCTTCTAGGTCCATTTCCAAATCCTTCCACAGCGCCCAGAATTCCCAAACAGAAGCCATAAAGAACCAAGGGACTCACGTCTAGAGGGGAGCACATGAGGCCTGAAGCCGACCACAGCCACACTAGCTTCTAGAAGTTTATGACTTGTCAGAAAAAGTTGAGGAATTTACTTCCTGGCTGACTTTGGGGTTCTATTTGCCGCGTTTCCAAATCAGAGGAAAAGTTATCACATGGTATAGTTAAAACAGTACGATTAATGGGTCTAATAATTAATAACCTCTTCATGAAAACTGACTGATGAAATATACCCATACTTGCACTCAGAAACTTATTCTTGCTTTTATTTAATGTCCATCTTTAGGATTTATGGAAAGCTTGGCTTTCTGGGAACCCTTCATCTGTGATCTTAAGCCTTGTCGTGGTTTTTGACCAAAAACAATGCCATTCTTACTCAAATAAACAGAGGATATTTGGATTTTCTCCCCCTGGGTACAGGTGGAAAAATGTTGACTTCCCTGCCTGTTGAAGTCTCTCATGCAGTTGTAGTGCCAGTGAGAATTTGGAGAGGACTAGGGCAAGGAGGGGGGCAGATGGGACCCCCTGACCCTGAGAGCTGCCCTGTCCCCGCCTCTCCGCCTGCAGACTTCTCCGTGATGACGCCCATCAATGACCTCCACACGGCGGACTCCCTGAATCTGGCCAAGGGGGAGCGGCTCATGCGGTGCAAGATCAGCAGTGTCTACCGGCTCCTGGACCTCTACGGCTGGGCCCAGCTGAGCGACACCTATGTCACGGTGAGGACAGCATCTTGGAGTGGAGTGGGGTACAGTGTGTGGCCCCCTAAAAATCCAAAGGGAGGGCTCCTGTCTGTTGGTGTGGCCATACCACTGCTGGTAGCCTTTGGTCAAATGCTGAGTCCTTCCAAGGTTTCTAACCACTGTGGACACTTGAAATAACCTGGCCAATGAACATTTCTCTGGAGAGGAGCTGGGAACTCCTGGGCCCTACTTCCAGGGCTACCCTTGACCCTCAAGAGATTCTCCTTGGAGCACCATTTCTTTTCTTTCTTTTCTTTTTTTTTTATCCTCACCCAAGGACATTTTTCCATTTTTTGTTCAGATAGAGTGGGAGGGAGAGAGAGACAGAGAGAAAAACATTGACGTGAAAGGAACACATCAAGTGGCTGCCACCCACACGACCCAAACAGGGCCGGGGACAAACTGCAACGGAGGTACATGCCCTTAGCGGGAACCGAACCCGGGTCTCTCTGGACCGCAGGCCAACGCTCTAACCACTGAGCCAAACCAGCCAGGGCGGAGCTCCATTTCTTTAGTTCCAAATAGAGGCCAAGTTCTCTCCATCTCTCATGGCTTGAAGTGGGGGATGGGGAGATACCGATTCTTAAGAGGAGGATTTGGGACTGGCAGATTCAGGAGAATAGGGGATTCAAGCCGAATGTCCTTGGAAATGACCCCTGCCTTCTTGCCACTGAGAACACACATCTTTCCTTCAGATGAGAGTCAGCAAGGAGCAGGACCACTTCCTCATTAGCCCTAAGGGAGTTTCTTGCAGTGAAGTCACGGCATCCAGCCTGGTGAGTACAGTCCCCGGCCCACTGCTCGTTCCTATGGCAATGACAGCACCCCCGTGCTCCTACTGTGATAGGCCACCTCCCGATTCACCGCTGCTGTGCTGTCCCTTGTGGGGCCTCCAATCTGGTGGGACAAGAGGACACATGGACGCCCAAACTGAGTGCCCAGAGCATGATGCCACCAGGAGTCCAAATGTGAGGTGTGGCAGCAAGCGCAGCAGGAGGGAGAAGAGAGGGGCCTGGTCCTCTGAGCCTGGGGTTGGACCACAAAGCCTGGCAGTGGGGAGGCCTTTCTGGATGGGGGACACGTGCGAATGGCAGCCAGTGCTTTGTCCCCAAACAATGCAAGACTGCCATTAGAGATAGCTTCTGGGACCCCTTTCAGTTCTCCTCTCCTTTAGGTGTGGTAGGGAGAAACTGCCAGAAGCTGGTTTCAATCAAGGAAGATGTCTGGGTGTGAGGAGGAAAGCAGTAGAAAGGACTGCCTAGAAGCAGAGGAGGCCCCGTGTTTCTCAGATGCGTGGGCTATAGCTGTCGTAGCGGCTGTCACACCTGGGAGAGGACGGTGCCACCTCAGGGGCTTCCGCCAGGCTGCAGACACTCAGATGTTGAATCCAGGTACTCAGTATAAAGGGTAGGCTGACAAAGTCACAGAATCTCTGGGCAGGGCCAGGCCCCGAGGACTGCCAAGACCACCTTCCAGGCAGGAGGGGACACTGGTGCCGGTGAGGGGGAGGGATTTGCACAGGGCCACCCAAGGAGGTCATGGGAGAGTCAGACAGGGACCACAGACACAAGGTCAGCACAGGCTCTGTCTTTGGCGTTCATGGTTGGGCAACCAGGGATTAAACTCCAGCTGAAGAGTGCTCTGATAGAGACCTAGTAAGCTTGCGAGTCTAGGGAAGGGGTGTGGGCTCCTGGGTGCTGTAGGAGGGAGAGGGGGCAAAGGGGGAGCTTCTAGGTTGAAATGGTGATGAAGGAATAGAGTCCTCAGGAGCTCACTAGGGATAAGCAGACTTAGACCAGGGCAGCAGGGAAAGACTGGACAGAGGTGCCCATGTCCTCAGCAGGAAGACAGCTTGCACCAAGCCCAAATGCATACCAGGTCCCAGTGCACTTGGGAAGACAGGTGCATGGCTGAGTCTGGCCCCCATAGTCAGTGTCTGGAGGTGAGGCTGGGGAGGTGATAGGGACCAGATGATAAATGAGACAGCAAGTCTATTATGGAGTTTGGCTTTATTCTGCTGGGCACACAGAACCTCTGAAGCACTGTCAGCAGGTGAGTGGTGCAGTCAGATTTCCATTGTAGAAATTGCCCTCTGACCACTGTGTAGAGGCAAATCAACACGCGACAACTGGTCGGGGCTGTTCTGTTCTGCCAGGAAGGAAATTCTGGGCCAGCAGCCTTAGTGGGCCTGGCGAGCTGGGGTCGGGGATGTGGGGTTGAGTTTGAAGAGCTGGTAGGATGCTCAGGAAAGAAGTCAGTTGGCATTTGGTTATCCTAGGTTCAGAAAGATATGGTGTAGAGATACAGGTTTGAGAGTCGTGGGCATGAGATGATCAGGTGTGTGTGTAGACTCCGTGCGGTTGTGTATGGTTGTGCAGCTTGTGCACAAGGGAGCCTGGCTGGTGAGGGAAGGAGAGAGGGTGGAAACCAACCTGTGCTCCACTGGCTTGTTTTTCAGGTTTGCTCAATGGAGGCATCCACATACCAAGCCTTGTGCCCCAAGGGGGCTGTTCTCATTGGAACAGAGGCACTGTGGGATCGTGGCTGTTCTATTAAGCTGTAGAGATTCTCTCTCTCTCTCTCTTAAATTCTTACCTGAGGATATGTTTTTATTGGTTTTAGAGAACAAGGAAGGGAGAGAGAGGGAGAAACATCAACCGGTTGCCTCCTGTACACACCGCAATCAGGGATTGAACCTGCAAGCCAGGTACATACCCTGACTGGGAATCGAACCCACAACATTTTAGTGTACAGGACGACACTCCAACCCACTGAGCAACCCAGCCAGGGCAAGGCTGTAGAGATTCTTAAGTGCAACAGATCACACATTCAAGGCTAAGATAAGGATTGTGTGAGATCAGAGAGAGACCATCCCAGACAGGGAACTCTGAGCAGGCCACACATCTGAGGAAGTGGGCGATCTGGGCTGAAGGGGAACCAGCGGCAGCACTAAACACGTACAGGTTTGAGATACCTGAGGTGGGACAGTGGCTACCACTTCCAGAGGTCAGCCACTTTGAAGTCATGTTCATTCCGTGAATCTCACTTAACATAGAATTTTGTAAGAGGGATTTGTTGAACGTCATCCTGATGCTTCTGCGTAAACAAAGGATGTCAGTGGCCGATTTCTTCCCCAGCTGAGTCTGTCCCTTCCTTTGGTACTGTCTTGTCCGCTGGGCCTTCTGGAACTGCCCAGTGTGCTGCCTTCAGAATGTCGTGGTGGTACACTTCTAAGGGAAAAGTTGTCATGATGTTTAGAAACTAAAATCTAGTTTGTTAACAATGCCAGGAACACCTGTCGTCAATGAGTTAGCTAACTACCAGCTGCTGGGGACCAGGGGGCATGTTCAGTAAGAGGGTGTCAGGAGGGGACTCATTTCAGGGTTTGGGATTGTGTCGGGGGATTTGGGGAGTGTTCTGAGAAGGAGGTGCTGCCTTGGCTGGTAGATGCAGATCTACACTGTCAGATGCAGGGGCGAGCCTGTGAGAGGGGGAGGGGCAGGGTGTGGGAGGAATGGAGAAGGTTGAAGCCGCCATCGGTAAAGAAGCTCCAGGGCCTCCTGTTAGCCAGGAGGGTGATGTCGGTCATGTTTGTGCTTAGACATGATTAAGGAGCAGTCACAGGCAAAAGTGACCTTCTCTGATGGTGATGTTCTAAGAGCTTGTTTGTGTTAAGCAAGGGACACCACAGCCTAAGTGTGTGCCAGGCCAGCCAGAGCCATTGGCAATTGTACATGGGCATGCATGTGCATACACACTCACACACACACACACACACACACTCACACACACACACAGCAGCCTATGATTTTTAACCATGACCCCTACTAGTCCCTCGGAGTCAAAGCTGATTATAAAACTAGTGACTACTTTCTACTTGCCCTTTAAGACCTAGCTTTTGGGTGATTGGTAAGTAAACATTTATTATACTGTTCTCTTTACCTTTGTATGAGATGTTTTAAAATATATAAAAGAAAAAGAAAAAAAGAAAAGGTGATGGTAATGGAAGGAGACTTGTCCCTGGGTGATGAACACAATACAATATACAGATGATGTATTATATAATTGTGTATGGGAAACATGTAATTTTATTAAGCAATGTCACCCCAATCAATTCAATAATTTTTTTTTTTTTAATTTAAAAAGAAAAAATAAACAACAAAAAAAGAAAGGGCACAGCTGAGCTATTACTCTCCTGGGAAGGCATCTCTGATCCCCCATTTCACCAGGAACAAAGACTCTGCCCAGCTGCTTTTGGAGAATTTGACGGACGACTCTGGTCCAGACCTGGCTGCGCAGTGTGGTCTGCAGCCCAGCAGCCTGCGAGTCACTTGGGGCTCGTTAAAGGCAGGCTCTCAGGCCCCTTCTTGGCCTGCTGATCAGAACCTACACTTGGACAGGGTCTCCAGGTGGTTCTGAGGCACAGTCAAGTCTGAAACTCTGCTGTAGCACTTTTCATGCTGGATTATGACCCCTGTGCCCCCCGTTAGCCTGGACACTCCCTGAGGACAGGAGCTGGGTCTCTTTCCTTCCCAGTACCAAGCACAGCCATTGCTCAGGTGTGGTGAATGATTGAATACCAGTGGGTAGCCTATGCTGGCCACTACTGGAGGGGTGGTGAGGCCTCTGCTTGTCCTGTGGCTGTAAATCTCTCCTTCCCCGGCCAGATCAAGGTGAACATCCTGGGAGAGGTGGTGGAGAAGGGCAGCAGCTGCTTCCCAGTGGACACCACGGGCTTCTGCCTGCACGCGGCCATCTACGCAGCCAGGCCCGACGTGCGCTGCAGCATCCATCTGCACACGCCGGCCACGGCCGCGGTGAGTGTCGGCTCAGCCAGCATTTCACTCCCGGGCGGCACAGACCCACATTGCCTGCTTCTCTGAGGTGCCCCCAAGGAAAGACACAAGACCCCAAGCTAGTAACAGTCTCATCACTGAAACAGTTCTGGAAAGATTTCCTGGAACTCACGCCAAAGTAAGGAGAGGGAACACCCAATGTGGGGACCCTAATCCTCTCCACTTTAATTTTTTTCTTTATTGATTTTAGAGAGAGAGGAAGGGAAAGAGAGAGAGAGAGATAGAAATATCGATGAGAGAGAACATTGAATGGCCATCTCTGCATGCCCCCCACTGGGGATCAGGCCCACACCTGGGCATGTGCCCTGACCGGGAATCGAACCAACCACCTCTTGGTGCAAGGGTCGACCCTCAACCACTGAGCCACACCGGCTGGGCTCCTCCCCACTTTTCTAACTACAGAAGTCTTGGTTTGGGGAGAGAAGGTAAAAATGTGTAATGTTTGCCCTGCTACACCCCCCAATCTGCCACATACACAGACTGGCACCATGTACCCAGGTGATGGCACCTCTTTAGTCTGTCTGCTCGGGGCTGTCCTCTTGGACCGAAGGCTGGCGCCTGCCTACCTCCCTTTCCCCAGCCCAGGCTCTGATCGGGAGAGATCTTGATAGAAGATGTTGGGAACCTGGACTTGCCCACTTCTCATAGGCCAGATGGGCTGAGATCTAGGGCTGGGGCAAGGAAAACGGGAAGAGAGTTGAGCAAAGACCCCCAAGGAGCAGGTTGTCCCCTCAGGGCCTCTGGATTTCCCCATGTGTGCCTAAGACACTGGGACATCACTGGAAAAGACAGCAGACAACCAGTTCTAGTTGTCTCAACCTTTACCCCATCCTATCCGCCCCCGCAGGCCACACACCCACAGGGACAGTGCAGACTTGTCACTGGCCTGTGGTTTTCTCAGCAAAGCACAATCGTTACGAGCACTGAGACTTTCCAGAATTTGGACCAAGACTGGGTGATGCCTTTGTGCCAAGTGTGTAGAGCCTGGGCTTAGTTCTGGGGCAAGATGAGTGGAGGAGGCCAAGAGGCTCTTCTAAACCTGTCCTCGCTCTTAATAAAAGGCAGGGCGTGGGGCACGGGGTCCCAGCAGGGTTCCCCTGTTCCCCGGCACCCTTGCTGCCCGTTGCTGGTAAAAGGCGGCTTCACAGTGGGCCTCCCTGTGAGTGAGGAGTCGGGACTGTTTCTGCACTGACCTCAAGGCTGAGGTCTCACCAACCCACTGCAGGGGACCCCAGCCTCGTGCCAACTCCACCCCCCCTCCCAGAGCCCTAGGACAAGAGCCAAGTGGGGGGGGGGGCAGCTGCGATAGCTCGCTCCAGTGCATTCGTTCCAGCAATTTGGGAAGGTGAGGCATTGACACGGCTGCTGTCAAAAATGATGGGATGACATTAGCGGAAGCAGCCAGAGAGCAGCACCCCAGCCAGGTGGAGAGTCAGAGGGTCCCCACACCCATCCCCAGAGTAGAGCCTGACTGGGCCACTCAGGAGTGTGCTGGGGGAGCTGCAGGTGCTAACCGTCCCGTCGTCTCACTGAAGGTGTCCGCCATGAAGTGGGGCCTCCTGCCTGTCTCCCACAACGCCCTGCTGGTGGGGGACATGGCCTATTACGACTTCAATGGTGAAATGGAGCAGGAAGCGGATCGGATCAACCTGCAGAAGTGCCTTGGACCCACCTGCAAGGTTTGCCCAGCTGTTCTGTTCCGGGAAGATGCTTCAGGGTGGGATTGTCAAAAGCCGACATTACAAGTGACACATGTTCATTGGACGATATTTAGAAATTGGGCATAAAAAGTGAAATAAAATTCTCTCTTTTGCACTACCCTTAGATTTTGGTACATACCCTAAACATATTCACAAAACTAGGATCATAAAATATATTCTCCTTGTCCCCCTTAGCAACATACAGTAAACACCTTCGTATATTATTAAATATTTTCTGCATCACTATTTTAAATGGTTGAATTACATCTCATTGTGTGAATAATTGTGCCATCATTTACCTGAAAGTCCTTTATGATTGGACATTGAAAGGTTTTCTCCCCAAATTTTCTCTTGATATAAACAACATTGTTATGAAAACCCTTTCCACCAAATCTTTGTATATGCTTGAGATGATTTCCTGAGGGTGAACTTCTATGGGTGCACATTTTAAAATTCAAATATACATTGGCCAAATTGTTCTCTCTGCCCGCAATGTTTAGTATATAAGAATGCTCTGCGGTCTCCCCAACTTGAGTGTTATCATTTTTTTTTTCTAACCTGGTAGAGAAAAAGAGAATCTCATTAATGTTTGGTTAAAGTCAAAAGACCTATTTTATAACAGTACATAATTGGGGGTGGTCAGCTTAGTACAGGAAGTTTAGGAGCTGAACCTGGGTTGACGGATGCCTGCTCCCATCCTAAAAGGCACTCCCTGTCATTTCCGCCTGACAGTCCCTGTCTTCCGGTCTCTGGCACAGAGAAGTCCCTGCCGCTCTCTCCTGACACTCTCCGCACGAGCAGTGCCCAGGGAGGGACGAGAGGTTTACCTCTGTGAACTGCTACAAGAGTCTGAAAGATGGGGCATTTGTTCTCAGCAAAATCTTTTGTGGGCCAGAGTCATCATCTCTTTCCATTTCTCTGGCACTTGAGAGGAAAAACCTCCACAGTTTTCAGCAAGAGAGGATGTGATGATCAGACCTGAGCCCAGGTCTGCACGGACAGAGCTGATACCTGGATCCGCATCCCAGCTCCCAGCGGGGCATCAGCCAGTTTCAGAGAGATCTCGAGGATAAACCACCAAAGAAAGTTAGGCACCTGGACCTTGGGGAGTCAAACTCTTGGGATAAATTTATTTCTGAGTATTCTCTCCTTTTATCTGCCTGCCCCTGGCTGAGTCAGAAACATTGCACTAACACTGAGAATACCTGGGTTCTAGTTCCCATTCTGCCCCTAGATAGCTGGGAAACTTTCCATTGCTTTAGGCTTTTATTTCCTCGACCGTAAAAACAGTGAGTTAGATTAGAAGGTCACCGTGGCCTCGTTCATAGTAGGATCTTCGAGCTGCCCGGGCCTCATTGAGTTTATGGAGAGAACGTTTATGGAGAGGAAGGCCCATGTCCAGAGAGGTCACGGGACCTGCCATCAGGCACTCGGGTTCCCTGCCTGTTTCTGCAGAGCCACCTCTTAGAGGGCCACCCCTCGGGTATTGATTCCCAGGTCGACTAACTCACAGAGGTAAGAAGTTGCTTCTGAGGTTGGATCCTCATGTTGGACATCAAACAATTTCATTTACTTTAACTCAAACATTAGTTTTTCAGACTACTAAGATTTCCAAGGCCTCAAAAGCCGGTCATTGCCCAAAGAAATTCACCAAATTATTTTGTTTCAGTAGTAAAAAAAAAAAAATCTTCTATTTCTTTCTTCTTCTTCTTTTTTAAATCCTCACCCGAGGATATTTTTGCATTTATCTTCAGACAGTGTGGGAGGAGGAGAGAGAGAGAGAAACATCGATGTGAGAGAGACACATCAATTGGTTGCCATCTGCATGGCCCCGGAGGGGTTGGGCACAAACTGCAACCGAGTTATGTGCCCTTGGCTGGAACCGAACCCACGACTCTTTGGTCTGCGGGCCGACATTCTAACCGCTGAGCCAAACCAGCCAGGGCAAAAAATCTTCTATTTCATAGGTGATTACTTAGGGTTAAAATCACACATGATTTTACACATGGGGTATATTGGGGTGTTTGTGTTGGAAGAAGGAACAAGGAGTTGGGGGGTGATGCTCTGGGATTGGATATGGAAATTGATCTGAATAAAATGAAAATCTCTCCCTCTTGGGTTTAGAAGGCTTGAAGTTTTAATTGGCCATTTGCTCCTCTGCAGATCCTGGTGCTAAGAAACCATGGCGTGGTTGCTCTAGGTGACACCGTGGAGGAGGCGTTCTATAAGATCTTCCACCTGCAGGCTGCATGTGAGATACAGGTGAGCGAGTTCCTCTGCGGACTCTGGGGAGTGGCTCTCACAGTGACCCTCAGCAAAGCACCCCTCCCTAGCTGTGATTCAAGGAGGTCTAGTCATCCAAAAGCCAGGCCCTATTTCTCTGCTCTATTTGTCTAAAGTTTCACACTCAGAGCAGTTTTGTAGCTTTAAAGTATATATCACTGTTGTCTAACAACCAACACCCAACTCATGGAGGTCAGTGTCCAGACTGGGAAGCTGTCAACTGGACAGCAGTAGAAACCATAATAGGGCAGATACAAGGTCTTACCATGTTCATATATTGCCTGGGGTAGACCTGTTACATCTGGCTATGCCCAATAGACACCACACATGTAGGTGACCTTCCTTCCTTCCTTCCTCCCTTCCTTCCTCCCTTCCTTTCTTCCTTCCTTCCTTCCTTCCTTCCTTCCTTCCTTCCTTCCTTCCTTCCTTCCATCTTCCTTCCTTCCTTCCTTCCTTCCTTCCTTCCTTCCTTCCTTCCTTCCTTCCTTCCTTCCATCTTCCTCCCTTCCTTCCTTCCTTCCTTCCTTCCTTCCTTCCTTCCTTCTTCCTCCCATCCTTCCTTTCTTCCTTCTCTCTCTCTCTCTCTCTCTCTCTCTCTCTCTCTCTCTCTCTCGGGCTAGTTTGCAAAGACCATGAACATGGTCAAACCCAGAAAGAGAAATGGGTCAAGGTGGAGTGTTGATATGACAGACTAAACACCGGACTCCCAAGGTGACGTTCAGGGAGCCCATCATGAAGTTCTCCCAACCAGTGAGAGGGTGGAGGGAGGGTGGGAGTGTTAGTGGAGACGGGACCCCTAGCGGAGCTGGTGAAGAAGCAGCAGGAAAACATACCCTCCCGCTTTGTCAGGCCGGTGGTGTTGGACAAGCCAGCACGCACTCCTTCCAGGGTGGCAAGATGAGAGGTGCGCGGGGTGGGGGGGCCCTGCACAGCTGCTGGGCTCCCTCCTCCCCAGCGCTGGTTCGTGTGCCCTGGGTCGGGACTCGCCCTGTCTCCTCACCTGCAGAAGTGGAGCCTGTAGAGTCCTTGTGAGGACAGCCTTTCCGACGAAGGAGAGGGGTTGCTGATGCCATTTCGGGGACTCGGTGGGCAGAAGGGGACTCTTGCTGCTCCCGGATGAGTCAGCTCTCTGCAGGCTCTTGAGGGGTTCCGTCTGCCCTCTGCTGGCTGGTCTGGGCAGAGCAGCGCCCGGGAAGAAGGCTGCCTTTCTCTTGGGAGTTAAGGGAAGCGGATTATCCCAGAAGCATCGCTAGTGACGGCTTTGCAAGCGGTTCCTTTCTCAGTGGTTTTTAAAGGCGTATGTTGAGAGGATAGTTGTTAAAGACAGTGATGAAGAGGTGTTAGAGGAAGTGGTATGAGACTCTCTCCCGACCCCACTCCAAAAAAAAAAAAAAAAGGAAGAACAACAAAACACAAAAACAACAGTGGTCAGAACAGGAGATGGTGGAAGTAAGACCAAAGCGGCGCCTTTCTGATGTGGTGGCCTCCCTGCCCCCTACCCAGCGATGCTGGCCCTGAGCTCTGACCCCTGACTGGTGCGGGAACCTGGCAGAGTCTCTGATATGCCCACTTTCCCTACCCCACATCCGAGCTCTCTAAGAGTTCCCTACCTTCCTTCTGAGGAAGAGACTCCTGTGAGAAACAGTTCTCATCTCTTTGCAAAGACAGCACGGCCCTAAGAATGCATGGAGAGAGGCGCCCGTGTGCCCCCACGCTGGTGTGAGGCTCCAGGCCCTCAGAAGCGGGCCCTGTGCAATGTAACGGGAGGCAGGATGGCCGTCTAGCAAACATGGAGCTAAAAGCGCAGCGCTGACAGCCCGCCGGCTGCTTCTCTCGGCTCTGCCAGCTGTCATTGCCTTTCAGTCGAGACTGTATGATGTGACCTTGTTAAAATACATCGTGATGAAGGCACATAACCCCAGAAAAGCTCCAGCGGCTTCTTTTAGCCGGTGGAGCAGGGAGGCTTCGAGAGAGAGACACTAAGCTGGGAGGTGGGGAAGGAAGCCCGGCAAGGTTAGGCCCGAGGTTCCGGGCGTGGAAGATCCTGGCAGGTTCGGGCGCTTGCAGATGCTGTTGGGTCATTTCCGGTCGAATGGCCAGCACTGACTTTCTCTTTCCATTGTGAGTGTAGTTTTCTCCCTCAGCGACTTTGGCAAACAAGCAAATGTGTTTGTGGTCATTTTAGTGGTTCGAGACTAAGAGCCTATTTTGTTCTCTTGGGACAATGTTCGCTTTGCTCCCCATCAGTCTGGGGTTCCAGGAATCTGGGTCACCCCCAGCTGAGAGAAGCAGCTCCCTGCTCTGCTTACAGGCAGATGGAAGAAGCTTAGGCAGTTCTCCATCTGCTACCCATCACCGTGGAAACCGATGGAGGAAGAGGGAGGCGGGAGGAGGAAGGTGAGGGCAGTTCTCTTCCTCAGTGAATGACAAGTGCTCAGGGGATATTGCTTCTCAACCTTCCACGGTAAAACCTCATCCTCTGTTTTTCATAAATACTTACATGGCACTTATATTCTAAGTGCTTTACAAATATTGTCTTCAATAATCCTCATGAGGTAGGTAGCACTATTTTCACTTTACAGATGAGAAAACTGAGGCTCAGAGAGTAAATCACTGCCCAACGTCACACTGTAAGTAAGTGGCAGAGGCAGGATTCAAACCCAGGCAGCCTGGTGCCTGAGTCTGTGTTCTTAAAAACTACACCGCATTGCACTGCCTCTGGGCAGTAAGAGTTGGTGGGAAAGGTCAGCTGACAGGACCTCTCTTCAGGGAGTTGGCATTTCAAGTCAGGGTTTCAGGTCCCAGGCTGAAGTCCTGTCTGGACAGGATGGGGTTCAGGAGGAGCAAGGTAAATTGATCAGCCAGGTAGAATTCACTACCTCTGAGGGTGCCTGAGCCTCAGTGCTGGGTGTGAGAGACTTCAGAATTAGCAAGCATGGCAGCAGAGTGCAGAACGGGGACCAGTAGATTTCAACTCACTGTGATCTGTGTCAACTCACTGTGATCTGTGTCGTCAACTCACTGTGACCCTCTTACACTTGGAGAGCAGTACAGTAGGCTGCCTCCCCCAGCCTGGAGCTGACCACCTTCTAGGGAAGTCAGACAAGGGCTCTTACTGTTGGTGGGAGGATGGAATAAATGATCTCTAAGGTCTCTATCTTTGCCTGGATTAAAAATAGAGCCTTCCACTGGACACAAATCTTGGATAAAAAGGGCGTGGAAAATTAGTGTTTTAGCTTTCTCCTCTCTACAGGGTGATGGGGTCTCCTTGGGAAGGTGGCCTGGCTGACCTCCAAGGGGGCCATTTGTTACACTGGTGAATTTAACACACTCCAGGGTGTGTCTGGATCCTCATGGGATCATAGACCTGTGTTCGTCAGCAAGCTGAAGTATATCCTTTCATTTTCAGTAAAAAAAACAACAACTGTCACAAAAGCTGCAACTCTGGGGACACATAGTAGGAGCTGTTCCCCTGTAATAAGCAGGCTTACGTGGAGTATCAAATAGTGAATAGGATGATGCCCGAAACTCCTGGCTCAACTGCTTGCTGTAGTTGAACTTGCCCAGGAAGCCAAATCATAACCAGTTATATCCGAGTGGCAGACATGAGGAGTAAACAGAGTGTACTAGCAGGTGACCACGGGATATATGCCTGTATACATAACCCCTGGACACAGACAATAGCATGGGGAAGGCCTGGGGTGGGGTAGGGGGGGACTGGAGGGGGGCAAAAAGGGAGAAAATGGGAGACATCTATCTGTAATACTGTCAACAATAAAATAAAATTTAAAAAAAAAAGAAAAGAAAAGAAGGGACTTAGTTAGATCGATGAATTTTTTTAGGATCATCCTAAAATCGCCTGCTGTACACACACGCCTCTTGCCCGAATCCTCAGCCTGTTGCCTGCGGCCACCCGTATCATCCCCTCCCCAGGAGCCTTGACAGTGGGACAGTCCTTCCAAGTCCAAAGCCGCCTGTCCCTACACAGTGCCCGCTGTGCACCGTCAGCATTTCCTCTGTCTCTGCTGGGGTTCTCGACCGGCTGACCCCACCTTGGAAGATGCATTCTTCCTTCGACCTGTTAGTTCAGCCCACCTGGCTGCACTCATATTTCATGGCCTAGAAGCCAGCCGACTTCTCCCGGGTGACTTTTCTTTAAAACGGGAGATATTTCCAACACACCGAAAAATGCAGAGAATAATGTAATGGTATATACCGGCTGCCCACCACTCCGATCTAACAAATATTAACAGCCTCTTCACCTCAGATCCTTTTCTCTTAAAGAAATACAATGTTACAGACAAGACTTAGTGCCCCGTGGAGTCTTTCAGTCCCATGCTCCCACCTCCCCCCGAAATAACGCAATGTGAAGCTGGTAACCCAGGCAGGTCACTTTCAGTTCCCTGGATTGTTTTAGTCTTAAGGTTTAACACTTACCATGTCCTCTACAGTCTCTAGGAAGTGACATTAAGGAAGAAATTGCTAATAGCTCTTTCCCTGGAGTGCGTGCATGCCCGATAAATTTGGGGTGGCCCTTCCCCTGGGAGGAAGGGGCCGAATGCAGCTTGTTTTTCTAGCCCATTTCTGTTTCTGATCTCCCCTTATCCCCATTCCCGTTACACACGCGAGCTTACATAAGAGCACAGGTGTGTGTGTACACACGCACGTGCGCACACACGAGTTGAGGGCTCTCTGCTCTTTGCCCAGGTGTCCGCCCTGTCCAGTGCCGGGGGAGTGGAGAACCTCATCCTCCTAGAGCAGGAGAAGCACCGACCCCATGAGGTGGGCTCCGTGCAGTGGGCTGGCAGCACCTTCGGGCCCATACAGAAGAGCCGGCTGGGGGAACACGAGTTCGAGGCCCTCATGAGGATGCTGGACAACCTGGTGAGTCTCCCGCCACTGTCCTTGAGGCCAGTCTGTTGAGGCTCAGCGCCAGGACCAGTCAGTACGAGGTGTTAGGTGGGCATCAGAATCGCCAACGTCATGGTTACAGTGATAAAGCCTCATTGATTGGCAACTTGACTTAGAGTTTGTGGTCATTGTAATAGTAGTTGAGATGGCCTTTGCCACCCCTGCTCAGGGCTGTGGATGTCATCATACGTGCAGAGTGCTCTTTGGAGAAGGGCAAGAAGACACTGGTTGGTAAGAGAAGTAGTAATTCCATCAAAGTCAGAACCACAGAGCCCCTCTTACTATGTGACTCAGCTCACTCTTTTGTAGTTAGTTCTGCCTTTCCTATCGCACGACTTTAATGCAGAAAACACGTAATACCACACGTTTCCTTATTCCTGGTGAGCCGCACCGTAGCAGCATCCTATTGTTATGATTGTCGCTACAGGAGTTAACTGGGATTTAAAGGATTCAAAATAATTTTAAGACATTCTTCCTTCTTCTAGAAACGAACAATTTAGTTGATGATGTGATATGTAAATAGGAGACAATTCAAGAACAAGAGGAAAGCTTATACCATGAGGAGCTAATTGCAGGAAGAGACTGACTTCCTAGATTGCTCAGAGTGGTGAAAGATGAGACCTGTCTTTGTAACATTTCTATATTTGATTCATTTTCCCCTCTTCACGGCTATGATTTCAGACTCTCTTCATTGTGTCTAGGTCATTGTAGTTATTAATACTTTTATCTTTGCCTTCTGCACCTTCTCATCATCTCCATCTTGTTACCAGGCTGACCACGAGGGTCCCTTTATAATAATGAAAGGTACAATCCACAATGAAAATACAACTCCCAGCAGCATGTGTGTGCTGAATAGTCTGTGCCTAAATAAAGCACCAGAACCGGAGGGTTTCACACAGAAATTTTTTTTTCAAATCTTTAAGAAACAGACAGTTCTTATGCTACTTATACTGTTTCAGAGAAGAAGAAAGAAGGACACAGCCTGACTAGTGTGGCTCAGTGGTTGAACATCGACCCATGCACCAAGAGGTCGCTGGTTCCATTCCCAGTCAGGGCACATGCCCAGGTTGTGGGCCCGATCCCCAATGGGGGGCATGCAGGAGGCAGCCAATCGATGTTCTCTCTCATCGATGTTTCTCTCTATATATTCCTCTCCCTAAAATCAATAAAGAAAAAATTTTTTTAAAAGAAAGGACATCAAATCATAACAACTATAACAGTCAGACAAACCTTACTTCAAGTTGAAAAATGCCACATGAAAACTAGCAAAGAGTACCCAGCATAATATTAGAATAATAATCCACAGTAACCAAGTGAGGGTTCATTCCTAGTGTTCAAAGATATTTTAATATTATACATCTTTTAAATACATTTCATGAGATTACTGAGTCTAAGGATAAACACCTTTTGATCATTTTAATAAATATCAAAAGGCAGTTGAAAAATTTAGTACCAATTTATAAAAATAACTGAAATAGGACAGGAGGACACTTATTTAACATGATTAAAATACTTTTTTTCAAAACATGAGCCAACATCATGATAAAACACTAGAAGTATTTCCATTAAATTTTTGATCTTAGTCAAAAGGCCAAGAGGCAACCTATTCAATTTTGAAACAAAAGAATGATTCCTGCTCTCAGCACTCTTATTTAATATTGGAACTCAATTCAAAGCAGTAAGGCATAAAAATAAGAGGCATGCATTTTGCAAAGGAAACAAAATTACTCTTCTTTGTAGATAGTATGGTTACATGCCTATAAAGTCCAAAAGAGTCAACTGAAAGAAAGAAATAATGAGTGCATTTTAAAGTGGTCACTTATGAAAATATATACAAAATTAGTAGTTTTTTGTATCTTAACATATAATATATTTGAAAATATAATTATGGGAGAAAATAATCTTGTTTACACATGCAACAAAATCCTAAAACGTTAAGCAGAACCCATCTAAAGAAAAACCATAAAGCTTAGCCAATTGACATCAGAGAAAACCTGAAATCAGTGAAGAGCTAGAATTTATTTCTGGTTAGAAAGCTTCCATAGGGTAAAGAGGTCACTTTTCCAAATTAATCAATCCACTCAACCCAATTCCTTTAAAAACGGGGGAAGGTGTAAGGACTTCGCGAACTGTTCCTCCAGGTGGACTTCAGAAAGGCCAGGAAGTCCTATAGAGAAGAAAAGTAGTTGGGGATACCCGTCCCCACACGGCGCCGCACGCTGAAGCCTGAGTAACTGACGGAGGAGCAGTACTGCGGGGTGGCCAGGCCAATCCGTGCCGCAGCCCCAAGAATCCCGAAGTAGAGCCCGAACAATGAGAACCACACAGGGCAACCCGGCATCTCACAGGGCAGCGGGACAGAGAGACGACTACCGCCTGGAGAATAGGACCGGTGGATTGCTACCACACTCCTTTCAGCAGGATAAATTCCTGATTTAACAAAAGTTAAAACATAAAAAAAGCTCACACAGGTATTAAAAACATAGATTAATATTTGTGATGCTGTCGTGCTGGGCAGACCTTGTGAAGCATGGGGGAAAGTCTGGAATCATGATGGCAAATATTGACAGCCATGATTACACTAAAATGCAAAACTTGCATTTTTCTAACCCCCCCCCCCCACACACACACACCATAAGCACAGCTGAAAGACGCACTATGGAGGGAAATTTTTGACACCTGTGGCAGTCAACATAATGTAAAGCGATATTATAAATCAGTGTGAAAAAGAAAAACATCTCAGCAGAAAAATGAACTGGGAATACAAACAATTTACAAAGGAAGAGATTCAGTGGCCATTGAATGTAATTTAAAACATCCAATTAAAAAAATCCAATTTTTCTAGTAACCCCAAAAAGAGCAAAACAGAGCAAGACAGGCAGAGCTAGGAACTGCTCCGTCAGCCGCCGAGAGTCCCAGGTGTTCCTTCTCACCGAGCGACACTCAGGTCCGCCTTTGTGGGACATGGTCTCGCTTAGAAGTCAGGAACGCTCCTGAGTCAGATTTCAGGGATCTAAGAGGGAAATAGTTAGGAAGCCTTGGAGTAGAGGAAGGGAGGGCTGACTGTTAGAATCAGCCGGGGAAACTCTAAAGGCCTGTGGCCCAGACCGCGCCACCATCCAGTGAAATGGGCAGGTCTGGGAGGGCCCAGCGGCACCGTTTTGAAAGCTCTCGTGTGGTTCCAATGTGCAGCCGGGGTTGGGAACCACTACACTAGACACCTAGTAGGAGCCCTTTTTAGGTAAGGAGCTCTGTCTGTCTCCTTCACAAAGTTCCAGGGATTTTCTCAGCCTTGATCAGAGGCTCTTTGGGGTGGAGGAAGGGAGGGGTTGGAGCCCCGAGACAGGAACAGCCGAGACACACTGGAGAAGCAGCAAGGTCTAGGTTGTACTGTGGAGATTTGGATTTAAGCCCAGTCATTAGATAGAAGTGAACTATAAATCAAAGGTGGGGAAATAAATATAAAATTTTTTGAAATCTTGGCCAAAAGGATAACAGCACAAATAGCATAAAATTCATAAAAACTCCATTTGTGGGCAGGTCTCGCAGACACACCGAATGCCTAGAGCAGGCACCTCCCTTCCCCACACTAAGTGGTTCTGTTTTTGTCCTCATTAGGGCTACAGAACAGGCTACACATACCGCTACCCCTTTGTTCAAGAGAAAACCAAACACAAAAGTGAGGTGGAGATTCCGGCCACTGTCACAGCCTTCGTGTTCGAGGAGGATGGCACCCCGGTGCCCGCCCTGCGGCAGCATGCCCAGAAGCAGCAAAAGGAAAAGACCCGCTGGCTCAACACGCCCAACACCTACCTGCGGGTCAACGTGGCTGACGAGGTCCAGAGGAGCATGGGCAGCCCCCGGCCCAAGACCACAGTAAGGCGGGCAGAGGGGGAGCCCAGGGTGGGGGAGAGGGCCTGGTAATGTTTATGCATTAAGCAACTTTAAGACAGGGGAACAGAACAAGTCTCCCCCGGGCGAGTGTTAGTACAAGCCCCGCTTAGGGCTTCCTATCAGGCATCTGGGAGCAGTGTCTGTGCCCATGGCGCCTCTGATCACTTGTTTCTTGCACCTCTGCACTGAGTTTTTGGGTCCAGAGGATGGCTGGACCAGGTCACCCCCAACAGCATGAAAGCAAAGAGCAATTGATTTTTGATTTTTGCTCCCACATCCAGAGGGGAATTCTGGGAAGTTCAAGGATGGGTACCCAACATTTGAACTACACATCTGATGCAAACCCAGGAGCTGGGTGGGAGATTCATTTCTATTATGTTGTCCTCCTCACCACATACACACCCTGACTCTTAATTTAATTTTCATTAACATTAAAGTAGCTGGCAGTCAAATAGACTGAGCTCTTCTTAAGAAAAAAAAAAAGTGAAGCCTTGCAAATTAACAGAGTCATCTAATACTTAAGCTCAAGTGGCTGCCTGTCTGTGAACGCTGGTTACCCAGGTTCTGACCCCTACTCTTTTTTTATTTTTTTTTTATCCTCCCCCGAGGACATTTTTGCATTCATCTTCAGATAGAGTGGGAGGGCGAGAGGGAGGAAGACAGAGAGAGAAACATCGATGTGAGAGAGACACATTGGTTGCCACCCACATGACCCCAACTGGGGCTGGGGACAAACTGCAACTGAGGTACATTCCCTTAGCGGAAACCGAACCCGGGACTTTCTGGTCCACAGGCCAACACTCTAACCACTGAGCCAAACTGGCCAGGGAATGACTCCTACTCTTAAGGGTTCTTTATGGCTATTGACCTGGGGCCTTCTTTGGCAGCTGGGTCATTTGTGGCCCATCCTGCTCTGGGAGACAGATAGCACAGGCTTGCTGACCACGTAGGCCAGTGGGCCCAGATCTCCGGGGACAGGCCACTGGGGAGGACGCCTGGCCTTATTCTTTTGCCTTACCCGCCCGGCCTTGTGTGTTCAGTGGATGAAGGCTGACGAGGTGGAGAAATCCAGCAGTGGAATGCCAATACGGATCGAAAACCCAAACCAATTTGTGCCTCTCTACACCGACCCCCAAGAAGTGCTGGACATGCGGAACAAGGTAGGGTGGTAGCTAATTGTCTGGCCATCTCTTTTCCTTCAAGAGTGGGGGGGGGGGTGAGGCGGGGTCAGGATGCACCTCATGGGAAAGAAACTTGTTTGATTGCTGTGTTCCAGGCTCTGTCCTGAGTGCTGTACCTGTGTGGTCCTGTAGGACCCCCTTACAAGACAGGTGCTTGCTTTAGGCATTAGATGTGTCTAAGAGACCAGCCCACAGATGGAGTTTTTATGAATTTTATACTATTTGTGCTATTATCCTTTTAGCCAAGATTTCAAATTTTTTTATATTTCTCTCCCCACCTTTGCTTTACAATTCACTTACATTTCTAATGTCACTTTAAAAACTTAGGTTGCAGCCCACCGCCTCCAGTAGGTCAGGTACACTCCCAGAACCGTGTCAGTGTGTGGTTTGAGGGCCCTCTGCAGTGCTTGTTTAAAATGCATTCCTGGGCCACCCCACCCCAAGAGATTCCAAGTCAGTAGTTGTGGGGTGGCTCAGGAATCTGTATTGTAAACAAATCCCTCAGGGCTTCACAGGAAAATTAAAATTTGAGAATCTCCCTCAAGGATCGGCTGTGCCTCCTTGTGCTCTTCACCTCCTACAGTTACCTTTTCCGAGTCAGCGAGACTGTTGCAGGTAAACTGCTCATTCATTCTGAAACAGACATGGAGACTGTCAGAGTGGATGGGCTGCGTTAGAAACGGAGGAGACCCTGGGAGTGCCCCTCGGCCTGACACTGCACACTGAGCTTACTCTCCCCCTCCCTTCCATACAGATTCGAGAACAAAACCGGCAAGATGTGAAGTCGGCAGGGCCGCAGTCCCAGCTCCTGGCGAGCGTCATCGCTGAGAAGAGCCGAAGCCCGGTACAGCAGAGGCGGCCCCTGTCTGGAGGGGAACCGAGTTTGCCTTCCGGGTCTTCAGTGCCTGGGGCTGGGCAGCAGGACCCCTGAGTCCTCATGCCCACCGTCCCTGTGATCTCGGGTGCTGGTCTTTTTGCTGCAAAACGGATGCCATGAGGACCAGGGACAGTGTCTAATCACCCTCTGTGGGCACTGGGTGGGGCAGCAGCTGCCCAGCCCACCTGTGGGAGTGATGCCGACTTCCATGCTTCCCCCGTGGGACTCCCCTCTGCCCTCTATTAGCATCTCGCAAAGTGGGGATCACAGAAATGTGCTGGCAGCTCCCAGCTGCTCCAGACCTGCCTGCCCTGAGCATTCTGGCCTCTGCATGGTGATGGCAACATGAGATTGCAGCCTGGGGACGATGCTCGTGTGCTCTCAGAGGGAAAACATGTGTATAAGGACCGGTGCCCCTCTGAGGGAGGGGCAGGTAGTTGTCCACACAAACCCAAATAGTTAGAAAGCATCCAGTCATGGTTTCCATGCTTGAGATAGAACAGTGTTTGTCTAGTGCTTCGCAAAAGGGGTGGAGGTCAGAATCCTGGCTCACGTTGGAAACAAGTGCTGCTCGTTGCAAACCAGCGGTGGCATCTCCCTCAGCAGCAGGGAGGGGCAAAGGCAGGACCGTTCCTGCCTGCCCAGCAGACAGGCGATGCAGTAGTTTCCACCAGGCTGCAGCCTACAGGGTGGGTGTCCACTGGCAGAAGTGTGAAGGTCGCTGCGCCCACCTCCGCCTCCACCCCACCTCCACCCAGCCAAGATGAGGAACACCAGATGTGCTCCGGGATCGAGGATAGAAATACTGCATGATGGGGGGTGGGGGTGGGGGGTGGAGGTGAGAGTTTAAGACAATGAGCAAAATTGTTAAAAACTGCCATTTATACCAAATGCTCTCCTTAGAGTCCCTCTTCTTGGAATCCTGGTCTTGGGCTCTCTTTTGAACCCCATGATTTCTTAAGATAGGCCCAGTGCTGCCCTCTTTTGGAAGGAGCCCATGGGAAGGGTGGCCTGGGGTGCGTGGGCCAGCTGCTCAGGGCTCACCTCCCTGCAGAGCACTATCCACAAAGGCCAAGGGGAGGATGCTGGACTAGGAAAAAGGACTGTGGCACCGGAACTTGACTCCCTGTCTTGAGCTAGAGGGGTCAAAGACTCCTGATGTTTCCACAAGCTTGCCCAGCTGGTGAGCTCCCCAGGGCAAGGGGCTCCACAGAGGTGGTGAAACAGTGATCTTGGCAATGTCCCCACAGGGACCTGCAGTTCAGGTGGTTGAAGGTCCGAGATTCAGGACCCTGGTTCCCTTGTAATTTATGACTGTGTGCAAAACAGGACTGACAGTTTGGACCGAGAACGCTGAAGCCACTGTGTGTTTTTCTGCTGTGTGCTGTAGCTTGTGCTGCAGCTTGTGCTGCTTGGCGGGTGGGGCGGGGCATGGTGGGGAACAGCGCGCATGAAGCTGGTTGAGCCAAGCTTGGCTTGCTGGGTTTGACTGGCTTTGGGCCGCTGACTGTGTTTGCGTAGGGATGGCTTGCAAGCGTCCACAGGAACGATTGCAATAAAGGTGTGTCTTCCTTCTGCTTGGGAGCATCCTTTGAATTTATTTCTGGGGCACAGGGTGGATCCCCTGCATTCATCTAGGCAATTGCAAAAAATGTGGGTCTGGGGGTGAGGTAGCCATAGGGAGGAGCGAGCAAGCACCACCCTGAGGCCCTGTGCTGTTTCCGAGGAGCTGCATGCCACGCTATCCCTAGCAAGACCGCTGGCAGCCACGAGTCTGAAAGGAAGCTCGGGCCTGGGCCCCAACCCCGGCGTTCAGAGAGCAACACACACTCTGTGGTTAACTTTCAGTCTACAGAGAGCCAGCTGATGGCCAAGGGCGACGAGGACTCCAAAGATGAGTCAGAGGAGACGATGCCCAACCCCTTCAGCCAACTCACTGACCAGGAGCTGGAGGAATACAAGAAGGATGTGGAGAGAAAGAAACTAGAACGTGAAGGTAAGGAACCCAGGGCTTCAGGGTCTCCAGGGTGGAAGGGAGAGCCTGGGGAAGCCCAGAGGGAGAGCAGAGCAACCAGCAGCCTCGAACCCAGGACTCTTCACCCTACCCCCAACCTCCACAGCCCTCCCACCCCGGCTCAATCTAGCCTCTGTTTCTTTTTTAATCCTCACTTTCTTCTCTCTCTTTCTTCTTGCCATAGGCTCCATTTGACCTGCCTGCCCAATCACCAGAAATATTCTTATTGGCATATACTATTAATCACAATAATGACCCGCATTGTTCAATGCCTAACAGTTACATAGTGTCTGCAGGACCTCATCCGACCCTCTCAGCTGGGTATAAAGAGTCGATCCTTGCAGTGCTTAGAATAGTGCCTGAGAATATGGCACAGGGCAGTAAACACCAGATAAACGTTAGCTGTGATAGAGAATTGTAACAGTGGTAATAATTAGCTTTCAGATCTGGTATAAACTTTTAAGGCAATCAAAACTCTCCACTAGCTGACTTCTTTATGTCTTCTTCAAACTCCTGTAGTTCAACCCATCTCTCTCTGTTGACTCCCAGATAGATATTCACACTCACGACAGTTCGTATGTCCTTGTTATGCCCCTGTCCCCTCCTGGCGTGGCTTCCCTTCCGGGCCAGACTGACCCAAAGTTATCTACACTTTAGGCTCCATCTCAAATGCCCTCCTGCTATGAAGCCCGCTCTGTGTCTCCCCACCCCCCACACTGAGCTGTCCCTTCTCTTTACTTCAGGAGCACTTGGGGTCTGAGCCCCGGAGCTCAACTCTTGGTTTTGTCCACCAAGCTAGGCTTCCATTCCCTCAGGCAGGGTCATCCTCCGCCACCCCGTTCCCCACCCAGAGTCAGACCCCTTCCTAGATGCCAAGCAGGCACTAGAGCCACCTCAGTAGCTTGCTCAGAGTTCTAACGTGCCAATTGGAAAAGTAGGTAGGAAAATATGGTGCTTTTTATCCCTAGGCATTGTTTGCACTGAACAAATTCGATAAACAAAAATGAGCTGCATGCCACCAAATCATGGTGGGAACTCTCCTGCAGTCTTGCTGTCCACACCAGGGTAACACTCCATAGATGGACGTGCTTTGATGGAGGAAACAGAATACAGCAGACTCCTCCCACTGGCTTCCCCCAGGATGGAGCAGAAATAACCAAAGGTTAGGGGAGCAGCTAACTCTAGGCAGGAGAAATGAGGACCAAATAGAAGAAAGCAATTTTTTTTTAATTCTCTCTCTCTCTCTCACTCTCGCTCTCTCTCTGTCAGTCTCGCCTCTGCTTGACCTCTACCTGAAATGGTTTTCTGTATATTTTTCAGGAGAGAAAGAAACCACTGCAGAGGAGCCTGGCTCACCTGTAAAGTCAGCACCTGCTTCTCCAGCAAAGAGTCCAGTGAAGTCGGAGACCAAGAGCCCTGTGGTCTCTCCCTCCAAGACTTTAGACGGTGAGTGGAGCTGAGCAGCCAGGAGGGAGGGAGATGCACCCACAGGCAGAGAGAGGGGTCTGCATGGAAGGCGGGGCAGGCATGCACACTACCGGTACCTGCTTTCAACAGGTGTCGTCCCCACCCCCGAAAAGCTTTTCCCTCTGCCATTTCTAGGGAATCCCACATAGGGGTTAAAATCTTAAGCTTGTTCCATTCACAAGCTGTGACCGTGCACCTTACAATTTAAGCAATGATGAGTAAGTTCACGTCTGACTCATAGCCTTCTCACCTCTAACTCAGACTGGGTTGGCTGATGGGCCTTTCTAGATGTGCCAGCCCAGGGCTCAGAACTTAATGTGACCAGGGATCACCTAGGGATTTTGTTAAAATGAAGATTCCGGTGCAGCAAGTCTGGGCTGGGACCCGGGGCTCTGCATTTCCAACAAGCTCTCAGGTGAGGCTAATGAGGTCGTTCTCAACCTTGACTGCACTTGGGAATCACAGAGGGTGAGGGTGGGGACTTTAACTGTTCTGATGCCAGCCTGGGTCCCACCCCCAGTGGTTCTGAGTTAAATGGTTTGGGGGTGAGGGTGGAGGGGAAAGGAGTGGAGCCTAGAGTTTTAATATCCTCCCCCCATGAATCTAATGTGTAGCCCAAGCTGAGAACCACTTTACCAGCTAGTAGTTTAGAGAACTGAGTTCTAGGCCCAGCTCAGCTTCTAACTAATAGTAATTCAACTGCTAATTTTAGATCATTTCTGTGCCTCAGTCCTTTTGTCTGTCAAATGGGGCTACTATTTCTCCTTTTTAAGGTTCTTATTTGATAAGGGAAGTTGTAGATGAAAAATGCTTTGAAAAAGTAAAAGCATGATTTAAATGTAAGACGTAATCGTGGTTATAATTAATAATATAAATGAAGGAGAAACATTTGTAACAAAAATACATTAATAATAAAAGATAAATATAATAAGAAAAAACTAATAATAATATAAATGATGGATAATAATAGTATTACAGTCCATACTACCTGTCTTTAATGAGCTCCTGGAATTACTCCTGGCATGAACACTCCTCCCTGGACCCCTAGAGCCCTCACCACAGAGGGCTGTACTGCCAAGCAGGGAGCAGCAGCTTGGTGGCCTGGTGGCCTCTTCTCCCTCCGGGGTAGAATGGCCACCTTTTGGAAGCGGCTAGAATTCCCCAACCCCTTAGCGCCCTCTATTGGGGAATTGCTGCCTCAAGTACAGGCCCAGTGTTGCCAGAGGAAACCCATCTGCTTGAGGCCAGAGCCCCAAGTGGATGTCCCCCAACTGTGTGTGTTCACTGTGTCTCATCGTGGTGTTGTCAACCTGTCTCCACAATGTCTTCCTTTCTCTTCCCATTTGTGCCTTCATCAAAGGAGTTTCCTCCGATTCTGAATACTTGTCTCTGTAGTAAGTATAGAGAGGCTGTTTACTAACTCACCAACACCTGCAATGGGGGAGGGAGGACTTTTTCAAAAGAAATATATTCCCCCCCACTTTTTTTTTTTTGCAACTTACAACCCTGCCTGTGGGAGGTTTCCTGGCTATAAAATTTATGACCAATTTCATATGTCCTATGGATAAACAAGACTTCCCTGAAGGATATACACTAATAGGACACACACATGCAAAAACGCACAGAGATATGCACACAGAGCATGCCACCCAGAAGAAACCAGCTCCCATAGTGAGTGGGCAGCGGGACCAGTTCCTGGGTGCTGCCGGTCGTAGAGTGCTTATGGTCCTCAGGGGTATATCTACATCCCTGTTCCGAATGCACAGGCACCTCTGAGGAGCCCGTGACCTCTTCTAGGGCTACGGGCTAGAGCCCGAATGACCTAGGGACCAATGACCTTATCGGGATGCATAAAGCACTGGCTTGACTGCTGTCTCCAGCATCTCTCAGGGCATGCATACCTACTGCACAAAGGAAATGCAGACTGGAGAGGAGGCTCATGTCAGGACTGGGACGAGGGCTGGCAATTTCATTTTAGCTCCTGGGAGCCCCTTGGAGAGACCTCAGGTGCTCCGTGGGACAGGGGGCAGGGAGAGGGCTGTTTGATGGGTGGGATAACTGCTTCCCCACCGCCTGACATCGTCCCCACTGCTGCAGGATTCCTGCTTCTCTCCTATACACTACATGCCCCTGTGGAGGGCACAGCAAAGTTGAGTTGTTGGAAAGGTGAAGGTCTCCCCTGAAGACTCATTCTGCAATGCAGACAGAGTTGGGGAGTGTACGTCTCTTTGGAGCAGACTCCACGCGATGAGATATTAGCTGTTGCAGGTGACCAGGGTGAAGTAGTGTTGATGACCCTGGCCAGCTGCTCAGTGGCTTTCCCAGCTCCTGGGGGCAGACAGGGTTGACCCTCCAAGCAGCATCTGCAGTTTCACATTCAGCTCACCTACGTGGCTTTTTCACCGTGTGTCACCATGCTCTCAGGTCCTCTTGTGCTGAGTCACCTCATTGTCACTCTTCATCTGTCTCCCTGCCTTCTACCCCATCGGCCTCTCTGAATGCAAGTCTTTCAGATCCTCTCCCTTCAGATTTGGCCATCTCTGCCATTACCTTCTCTTTGACCAGCTCCTGACTGTCCCTGCCCCTGCTGACTCCATTCCCCAGTGATCTCCCAGGAGCACTGGCTACACCTACAAAGTAGCCTTGCACTTAACATCAGAGGATCAACTCTGCCACTTACTAATTTAGCCATCCCAAGTAAGTCACTTAAAAACACTGCAGAGCGGAGGAACAACACGAATCCTTGCTTTTTATAACTCACAGCATTATTATCAGGATAAAATGAGCCCATGAATATAGGAGGATTTTATCACATGTGCTTAGACACATGGTTCTCCTTGGGGACTTCATTCTCAGGATTTTGAGAGAGAATATACCACTTGTTATTTTAAGCCACTCAGTTTTAGCATTGTTTGTTATGCAGTAATAGATAATTATTAAACCTTGGTACATAATAAGAACTGGTTTTATGAAAATTAGTTCTTCTGTGGGTTGACTGGGCTCAGCAGGATGGTTCTTCTGCTCCACCATTGTCAGCTGGGGCTGCAGTCACCTGGGAGCTTGACTCAACTGGAACTTCCAAGATGGAGTATTCACATGTCAGGTGCCATGACAGGGGCAGCTGGAAGGTTGGGCTCAGCCAGAACACTGGGGTGGTGTCTGTCTCTCTGTCTTTATCTCGTCCCTCTGTCTCTGTCTCTGTCCATGTGGTTGTAGGGCCTCTCCATGTGTATTTCCATCAGGGTAGTTGGACTTTATACATGATGGTTAAGGGCTCCCCAAATTATAAAAGCAGAAGCTGCTAAGCTGTTTCAAGTCTTCAACCTGAGGCTGGCTCTGTGGCACTTTCTCTGCATTCTGTTGGTTACTGTGAGCCACAGGGTCAGCCCAGATTCAGTGTGTGTGGGGGGGGACCACACCCAAGTGTAGGCTCTTAATAAAAAGATAAATGACACATGCAAATGTAGAATGAATATATTGCCAGTAGGTTTTGAGGAGGGCAAGATCATTGTCAAATGTCAAAGGAGGCTTGAGCCAGACCCTGGGGCTATATATCCTTGGACAGGCAGATAGGAGTAGAGTGAGCTATTCAGGGGAGGCGGCCAGGAAGCTAGGGGAATGAACATTCTGGAAGGGACACTGGAAGATCGAGGAACAGTGAGTAGTTGGAGGCTAAGGGATGGTGAGAAATCTAGTCTAAGAGATAGAATGTACAAACAAGCACAGGACCTCCCTATAGAAGTACCTCCCTTCCTCATCCATCCTCTGAAGGCCTTTTAGCCCTTTTTATCCCTATTCACAGGAGTCTGGATGTGGATCCTGGCTGCCAAGTTTAATCTTGCTTCAAATTACCCACTCTCTAAATTCCCCCTCCTTCTCCCCCTTCTTCCTGGCCACCATCCTTGGACAGAACCACCTGTTTTCAGCCTCACATCTGTCCCGTACTCCCAGAGCTCTAAGTGTCTGCCCAGGAGAGAAAGCCAGTTCTTAGGAGATACTAGAAGACAAGCTCTCAGCTGCCCGTAGCTCCTGGAGCTCTTCCTACCCTGTCTTCAATTCACTGAAGACCAGTTACGAGCTCTGTGTAATCCCAGCCTTAGCTCTCTTGGGATATTAACAGAGAAGGGGTCCATACTCTCAAACCTGGTCCTTGATACTTTCCAGGAGCCCAGTAAGTGTTTATTTCTGGAGCCCTGACCTGTCACCCCTTCTCCTGGCCAACCAAACTCTCCAGTGGTCTCTGTCCCTTGTAGCTTGTAGCTGAGGGACTGGTGCCCACTGTGCCTCTATTAGCCCCACTTTCATTTACTGCTCCTCTCGCAAACAACTGATAACGTGGGACCTCTGAGATCCAGGTGGGCGTGCTTGGTGTGGCCTTGTTTTCTGGAGAGTGAGAAGAAGTTTGAGTGCCACCTACTAAATCAAGACACAGACCGGAGGCTGAGGCTGTAGATGAGGCTGACAGCAAGGTGAGCATGAGTGAAGGGCAGGGATGCAGGGCACTGTTGGAGCTAGGACACCCATCCACCAGGGAAGGAAAGGACACGTGGACAGAGTGTGGGAGCCCCTCTTATGTACAGTTATGCTCATGGAGTTGGAGGCAAGTATCAAAATCGTCTGAGAGGGTGAAACATGGCCTTGTGTGTCATTCAAAAGAGTGGCCTGCAGTGAGAACCTGGACGGAGATTGCAGAACCATGGCAGGACATGAGCCCAGGAGGAGGAGGAGGGATAGGGGATTAGGTATGGGAAACAAAGTCCAGCACTCAGGGCAGCTGTTGATGTCCATGGCTGAGTCCAGATCAGCCTGGACGGCTCAGGAAAGAAGATGAGAGGTGGTGTTGGCTTGGTTAGAACAAATCATTCACACGTTCGCTTGTTTGCTCATGCATTTGACCATTCGTGGGTTCCACATTTTTGGGGTGCCTCCTATGAGCTAGTTACACAGATAATTTAGACACAGCCTTGCCCTAATTAATTTCCGTTTTTGAGGGGGAGCTATGCATAAACAAGGAAGTGTTTTACAGTGTTTATGATGAAGTTTATATGATGGGGCCAGAAAGGAGGGAGTGATCAATTCTACTTGGAAGTAGGGAGGGATCAGGAAAGACTTGAAGGAAGAAGTAACACCCAAGCTGATTCATTGTATGGGGTGAAGGTTAGGGACACAGGAGAGAGAAGGGGCTTACAGACAGAGGAAAACAGGCTGGGGTGACAGGGCGGGGCTCAAGGGACCAGAGAGTGATAAGGCCAGATAGCAGGTGAAGGGAAGAGAGTAGACAGGGAGAAGGTTGTGTCTGCTGGTTTGCTGCATTCGGGAGTACTGCAGGTAACAGCCGCGGGAATACAGAGGAGGAGGGACTATAGGAGTCAAGGGCATTGGGTATCTTGGTAGTTAGATGATGACAGAATATGGGCTGGACAGGAAGAATAAAATTCGATGGCCAAGGTCATTGGAACTAAGAGAGAGGCAGTCCTCAGAAGTCGCCTGGGAGAGGACTTTGACTTGTCCAGGCAATTTCAAAAGTTACGCAAGACTACCCTGGCCGGTTTGGCTCAGCGGTTAGAGCGTCGGCCTGCGGTCCTGAGAGACCCGGGTTCGGTTCCCGCTAAGGGCATGTACCTCGGTTGCAGTTTGTCCCCAGCCCTGGTCGGTCGTGCGGGTGGCAGCCACTCGATGTGGCCCTTTCACATCGATGTTTCTCTCTCTCTCTCTCTGTTCCTCTCTCTCCCTCCCACTCTATCTGAACAAAAAATGGAAAAATGTCCTCGGGTGAGGATTAAAAAAAAAAAAAAAAAAAGTTACGCAAGACCTCATTATAAGCCCTTGTCCAGACAGCTAAACCAGTCCATTCTAACTGTCCCCAAACTTACCCCTCTCTGTCCCATCTTCCGTGTAACCATACATTTCTGTAGTCTTCACCCCTGTCAAGAACCCTAGCCTTTTCCTAAAGCCCATCGTCACCCACTCTCTCTGTCGCCAGCCTTACCTGTCCCCATTACATTCCTGTGCAGCAGAGCGTGCCAGGCGGGGCTGTCTCTCAACTAACACCCTCACTCACACTCTTCAGTTCCCGAGTGGAAAGGACACTGATACCGATGTCTCGTCCTCCTCTTTCACTGTTTACTCAGTGTTCATATCTGTGAAATGGGAGGAGGTGAGCTAGATTATCTTCATATCCTGTCGTACTTTTCAATGTCTATGGTTTTGTGATTTTCCCTCCTCCCTCCCCACCCAGGTATTTCAAAGCTCCGTTGGAAGCAGGGTGGAGTGAGAGCGATGGGGGAGGAAGGGCTACAGGAGGGTTTGGTTTCTGGGGTCTGAGCAGTTCTGGCCTTGAAGACAGTGCCAGTCCTAACGGGCTTCCTCCAGGCAGGGTAAAGAGCTGGGGTGCGGAGTGGGGTGGTGGCTGCCAGAATGGGCCAACCAGGTATCTTCCCCTCCTGGTCAATCCTTATGTCTTAGAAGTGGGTCCATGTCACTCAGGAATTCCATCCTCCTCCTGCCTTCACCTCTTATGGAGAGGGAAACTCTCCATTCTTTTAAAAGCTCCTCACTCGTGTAGGAAATGAAATGGGTATGAAAACATATAATTTCCATACATTTACTGGTGAGACTGAACCAGTTACAGTGCTTAGGTGCCTCCACTGAGTTGCCCATGACACTGCCCTCCCCGCTCCTACGGCCTCTGTCCTTGCCTGTGTCTGCTCCCTCGTTCTGTGCCCAGAAAGGCTCCTGGCTGGGCCCTAGCTGGGCCCCCTGCCATGTTTGGACACCATTACCCTTTGCATTTGTCAACAAGAGCCCAGAGTTACTGACCTGCCAAGGGCTTGTTCCCAGGCGGGTCATGTGGAAGGGGTGCAGGTCCGGATGAGAGCCTGCCTACCCCCTGCCCCTACTTCAGCCCACTCTCCCGCTGCTCTGGGCTTACTTTGTAGAACTGCCTAGAAGTGATTCTGGTAACCCCAGGTGGAAGCTCTCACCCGAATGACATCTTATGGGTCATGTCTTTTGATCTTTTTCCAGAAGGTGCTAAGACGACAGAAACAAGCAAAACCACCACAGAGCCCGAAGCAACGCAGCCAGAAGGGGTGGTGGTCAATGGGAGGGAGGATGAGCAGACCGCAGAGGAGATTCTCAGCAAAGGCTTGAGCCAGATGACCACCAATGCCGACACGGATGTTGACACCTCTAAGGACAAAACCGAGTCCGTCACCAGTGGCCCCATGTCCCCAGAGGGCTCACCTTCCAAATCTCCCTCAAAGAAGAAAAAGAAATTCCGAACCCCATCCTTCCTGAAAAAGAGCAAAAAGAAGGAGAAAGTGGAGTCCTGATTTGTAGCCCCCTGGGACTCCCATCTGCATCCTCTCTCCCACCCTCCCTTCTCCCATCTCTGTCCCTGGAAACACAGGGCCAAGGAGGGATAGAGTAGGACCCTGGACCACACTCTGATGGGGAATGTAGAGATTGCCCGACCAACCCCTCATTTACACTTGCCCCAGAGAAATCAGGTGACTTTCCCAAGGTCACACAGCTAGTTAGTGGCAGAGCCTGCACTAGAATTCAGGTCTTCTGGCTCCCAGTCCAGTGCTCTTTCCACTACACAACACTGCCTAGTTGTGGGCTGCCTTCGTGAGGGTGCTGCCCACTGAGCTGAGCCCTGGGCCAGAGGGCCAGAGTGGGCCACAAGCTCTCACAGGCTCAGGCTAAATCAGGTCGAGGCTTCCCCTGAACAAGGTCCTTTTCCTCGTGGGAACCCAATCTCCTACTGATGGAGTTATCACTATGTTTAGAAATCTTTTTCATAGGGTCCCTGCCTTGCTGCTCACAGTAACCAGACAAATTGACCTGTACCCTCCACCAAAAGTTAATCTTTGTTCCCAAGGGCTGATGGCTTAGCTTGTGCTTCCCCAACCACTAACCCTGAGCTTTCTTCATGGAACCTCCTGAATTGCGGATGAAAGAGTTGTGAGAGTTGTCAGACATACATCAAGCCAAGTCAGCCATAAAATGGAAGATAATGTAATCAATAAGGAAGCCTGGAGCTTGACCCATGCAAATTGTGTATCTCAGGAGTTTCAAAAGTAAAACCAAATTCAGCTTAGAAAACAGTTGTCTCATGCTCAGGACAGAAATTGGGGGAAATTTCGATCCCCTGTTTGCTTCCGATCATATGAGGATGATCAAAATAGCACAGGAAATGCTATGCCTTTCCAGCTTTGCATGACACATGGAGCTCTACCCACCTCACCCCTGCCCAGCAGTGAGGCGTCCCCTGACCTTCCCTCGAGCCCAGAGCACTGGTTCATAGACTAGAACTGGCATCTGACCCGTAGCACCTTGGCCTTGGCTCCTTTGGGTTCCAACTCAGTCGCTCTGGTCCCAGCAGAGGAGAATGAGATGAGCCTTTCAGGATTATCAGTGATGCTTTGGTGTCCCTGGCCCTGTCACTGTCTGTCCATCCTGGGGCCGGTACTAGCCACAGCTATTGTTTTAAATGCCAATACTACCTTTTCACATTCTTCTGTGGAGTATTGATTAATTAGCATTGTTGGCTCCTAAAAAATAGACAATCCATTCTCTTTACAGCACAGTGTCTTCAAAGAATATTTTTCCTTTTTGCTCTGAGTATTGTAAACATATTTTTGAAAGTTCTTAATCATAGTTTTCCATGTTTGAGCACTTACTGTATATATATAGACACTGTGTAGGCTTTATATACATTACATCTTTTATCCCTCATGATAATCCTGTAAAGTGGGTAAGATTAGTCCCATTTTAAGGGTAAAGAAACTGAGTCCCCAGAAGGATCACTGGTGCCAGGCGACTTGGCTAGAGAGATCCAGAGCCTGGATTTAAATCCAAGTCAGCCTGAGTCCAGGAGCCTTTGCTCTTCATAGCCATGGTGATGAGAAGTCTTTAACCCCCAAGGGTGGTGGTTTTAGTCCAGGACCCATTTTCGTGACTGGTCTCCACTGCGTAATGTCGGTAGTTGAAATGAAGGCAAGAAATTCCCTGCATCTCCCTCATCCGTGCATGTAAAGTTCCTGGTTAACATGGACTGTGGCCGGGCCAGTGTGGACCTCTGAGAGAGGAGATGCAGGGCCTTCTGGTTGTGGCAGGAAAGACCATCCATAGTTGGACTATTTCTTGAGCAGGAAGGAAACTGACACATGACTAAGGAAAACCCAGTGCTGCATCTCTGCAGTGCAGATTCCCAGCTGCCACCCCAGTCCCCTTCCCCTGCACCCCCTTGCACCCCTCCCCGTTCCACTTTCTGATTGGGTCTTGTGGTGGACAAGCCAATGATCAGGGGCACTGATGCCTCAGAAAAGTCTGTGACATGGGAAATGCCTTTAAAAGCCAATCCTTTGATGCCTTCTTTAAAAAAAGTAGATTTCACATTCATTCATCCCTTCACAGTATTTGTTAAGCACCCACTAAATGCCAGGCATTATGCTGACATTAAAAGAAAACAATCATTGTAACTAGAATAATCAGTGGCAAGCAATGTTACGGAAAGGGTGGAGTGGACACAACCGTTGATGCAGCTTTTGTGTTTGAGAGGTTGTAGCTCAGAGACATGTTGATTCCACAATTCTCTTTATTCCCTTTGCAACAGTGAGTGTGCCAGTGTTTGCTGGACTTAGAACATTGTTTCTGGACTTTATACCATGGGTCCACCTAATTTTAAAAAAAAATTTATTTTTTTATTGATTTGAGAGAGAGAGGAAGGGAGAGGGAGAGAGAGATAGAAACATCGATGAGAGAGAACATGGATTGGCTGTTTCCTGCATGCCCCCTACTGGGGATCGGGCCCACAACCTGGGCATGTACCCTGACTGGTAATCGAACCAGCAACCTCTTGGTGCATGGGTCGATGCTCAAGCACTGAGCCACACCAGCCGGGCGGGTCCACCCCATATTCATTTATTTATTTGTTCATTCCTTGTACATTCAAAGAACACGTATGAGCTTGGATCGTGGGCCAGCCCTGAGGTAGTTCCTAAGTCAAGGAGGCACGCAGACAAGTTACAAGCAGGCAAGGGTGCAGAGGTGGCGTTAGGAAGCAATGATTTACTGTCTTCTGAGCCAGAGAAACCTTCCTGAAAGGAGTGATGGCTGAGTTAGGTTTTCAAAACAAAGGAATTTTTCAGGAGGACAAAAGGTTGGGCAGGACATTCCGTGATGCGGGAAGAGCATGTGCCAAGGGCACGGAAGCACGAAACTCCACGCTGCGTGCAGAGCAATTCAGTGCAGCGAGAGCATAGGTGTAAGAGGGCGGGGCAGAGATGGGGTGGTTCATTTCACTGGTGGGCAGGACTGGAGCATAAAGAAACTTGTAGAAAGTCTGAAGGAACTAGACTATCATGTAAGGGGTTTGGAGCTACTGAGGACTTCTAATGAAGGCAGAGCACCGGATGTTAGGAAACCCTTGGTGGCTGAGTGGAGAATGGACTAGAGAGGGTGGGCTGGAGGTATGGGAGATCTCACAACGCGGCCTTTCTGATATATCAGCACTAAGCCATGTTTGGTGACCTGCCTTACACTACATTTTTCCTTTTAGCAAAATGTGAGCTTCCAGCACGGAATTCATTTCCATCAAATCGTTTCAATAAGGCATCTTAAGAGAGATTGTCAACAAAAAGAGAGAAATACTCAAAGAGCTCATGCTGAGCACGGTTTCCAGCTCAGCCGGGCTGTGGAGTTGCTCTTCCCTTGTCCGTGTGGGATGAGATGGGCGTGGCTCCAGGCTTGAGGCCCTGCCCTGGATGCTGTTGAAGCACGTGTACCATCCAGACGGGATCACAGGCAGAGGGGATATTGTCTTTGGCTCTAGTTAAAAGCTGGCTGAAAGCTTAGACCAGAATCTGTCTGAAGAAAATGTATCTGTGGAGAGCTCAGAGTTCGTAGGCAATAGGTTCATTTCAAGTTTGGATATGCTGCGGAAAAGGAATGAGAAAGTGGAACCCATCTGTTGGCTGTGGCTGGCTGAACTGAGAGGTGGAGAGGTTTTTGAGACTGTTTTCATGGGAAGATGGGCAGGAGTTGGGAGGCAGAGGAAGGGGGAGTTACAGAGAGATAAGCGTAGTGCCAGTGACTCCATGCACCTGTGGCTGACACCCATCCACACCGTGTGACCTTTCCTCAAACTCTGCAGACAGTGCTGCCAACATACAGCCCCCAGCTCAGATCTGGGTGCATAAGAGCCTCCTGGCCTACAGACGACCCAGGTTCTACACAGAGAAGCGTAACCTCCCTCCACACTCCTTCGGCAGACAGAGAAGTTCTGTTTGAAGGACGAGGTGTGTTTGGATGAAGCCCACTGGAAAGCATTGTCCTTATACCGCGGACTTCCGTACATGCTGAGCCTTGAACCCCGCTCCCTGTGACCAACATTCCTGAATGTGACAATACAGTCTCTCAGATGACGTGTGTCAATGTCACAACAGGGCCACTGCTCTCTCCGAACCGGGAGAACTGCCGTAAAGGCACTTCTCTGATGGCACGGATTTTAAAACCCATTTGCCCAGGAGCACAGTTCACTTCTGAAAGTCTGAAAGATGAAAAAGAAGTGGACTTTTCATCCAGGCACGCACAGGGACAGATGGACACCCAGCCCACCCGTGGCCTCCCTGCCATCTTTTGCACAAGTGTGCCATTCACGTCCTAGTTCCAGGCCGAGAGTATTCGGTGTCTGTCTATCGAACGAGAGAGAAAACATAGCGCCCACTCATTTCTCTCATGCGGGTCGGCAGATGCCCCTGAGCTGGCTGGCACAGGTGCAGTTGACTTTGAGCACAGAGGAAGCAGGTCTTACATCTCTCGCCCCTGGAGCGCAAGCAAACTATCAAGACAGTACATTCAGAGAGGTGGAGAAGACACGAGAGAGAAGATAGACGGGTGCCCTGCACTCCCACAGGAAGGCCAGGGTACCTCACAACTCACAACCTGATGGGGCATCTTAGTGCCGGTGTCCCGATCTATTCCCCAAAGCAGAATGCAACATGAGAAGCCAGAGGCCCCGAACAGGCTGGGGTGAGAGGTGCCCGCGGGTGTCCGCACGGGCCCACCTGTGCTGCAGACGCACACGGAGCGGAGCGGCTGTTTTTCACCCGCAGGAAGAGGCCTGCTGTCCTGTGCAAATCTCCCATCTCCGAGGCGTGTAAAGAAAACGTGGGGGCCCTGGCCGGTTTGGTTCAGCGGTTAGAGCTTCGGCCTGCGGTCCTGAGAGACCCGGGTTCGGTTCCCGCTAAGGGCGTGTACCTCGGTTGCAGTTTGTCCCCGGCCCTGGTCGGTTGTGCGGGTGGCAGCCACTCGATGTGTCCCTTCACGTCGATGTTTCTCACTCTCTCTCTTCCTCTCTCTCCCTCCCGCTCTACCTGAACAAAGAGTGGAAAAATGTCCTCGGGTGAGGATAAAAAAAAAAAAAAGAAAACGTGGGGGTTCGGGTGGTGGTGGTGGGGAGTAACCATAGAAGAACCCTAAACTCGTTTCCCCTCCAGCAAACCTCCTTGCATAACTGTTAGAATCCCACTGGCCAGACCTTCCCTTTCCAAGGGAATCAGGAGGGTGGCTCAGAAGTTGGACCAAGGACAGAGGGGCCACATTTAAATACATCAAAGCACTTATAAGATGGAAATGTGTTTTGGGGACCCCACCCCCACATTTCATCTCCACCTTATGCCTCTTGGGCTTGCTTTGTGAGCGATTGTTTGATCTCAGTGGTCGGCTCCACCCTCAGATTCCCGGATCTGTGCTGCAGCCACCAAGTCCTGTGGTCGTCCTCCCCGGGGGCAGGAACAGTGAGAGCCTGGGCTGGGCTGGCCAGGGCGTGGGGTCTGGTAGAGAGTACAGAGTTCTCTAGAGCTGTGGATGGTTTCAGTGAAGTGTCTGTGTCTGACAATCGTTTCCCTCGTGCACACATTGTCTGTGTTTAGCTTGTCCTCGTACTGTGAAGTTTCAAATAGGGGTTCCATGTAAATACCCTTCCTGCTACTGCGATGCCAGCCCCCACCACACAGCAGCCCCACAGGTGGTTTTGCCTGTCTCTGTGCTAACACTTTTTGAGCCACTGATGTGCAGATTGATGATTAGTTTCTTGGGCT